TCTTGGACTGTGAGACTTGCAAGATCTTATTTGTATGTATAAAATGAATAGAATTTACCGCAGAGATGGAAGGAGGTTTACACCCCATAGCAGCAAACATACTTCCTTGAAATGGGGTGAGGGGTCACTCTTGTCCCGATGACCTCCATGACCCATCTCAACTTCCCTCTCTTTCTCCTTTCACCTTCTACTCTCTGCCTCCATCCTTCCTTGCCTTCTCCTCCCCTTGCCTCCCCTCCCCTCCCCTCCCCTCCCCCCCCCTCCCCTTCCCCAGGCAGAAGTAACAGGAGATTCTTCCCCCGATCTCAAGAACTGTAGGCTTAGACAGCCCCTCCTCGGCATCCAGGAGTCTGCTAACACTGTGCCAAGGCCTCCCTGCAAGGAGACAGCTCCCTCCTTCCCTATATGGATTTTGGAGGTCAGCTGTTAAGATGTGGAAGAAAAAAAAAAAAAAGATGTGTGTGTGTGTGTGTGTGTGTGTGTGTGTGTGTGTGTGTGTGTGTGTGTGTGTGTGTTGATACCAGACTGGGAAATCTTTGAAGTTTAAATAAGATGAGGGCATTATGGCATTTGTGCTTTTCAGCCTGATCTGTTTGATATGGAATATTGTCACTACTCATAGTGATGGGGATTTCGTCATATGTCTGAAAGTTTCCCAAGAAGTCTTGGAAATTTCAAAGCATCCCCAACCAAATCTAAGCTTGATTCCCATCTCCTAACAAATGTTCACATCAAAAAGTGGTTAGGGAATCGGCTACGTCTCAGGCAGCCCCTCATTGGCTACATCTCAGGCAGCCCCCCATTGGCTACATCTCAGGCAGTCCCTCATTGGCTACATCTCAGGCAGCCCCTCATTGGCTACATCTCAGGCAGCCCCTCATTGGCTACATCTCAGGCAGCCCCTCATTGGCTCCGTCTCAGGCAGCCCCTCATTGGCTCCGTCTCAGGCAGCCCCTCATTGGCTACATCTCAGGCAGCCCCTCATTGGCTACATCTCAGGCAGCCCCCCATTGGCTACATCTCAGGCAGCCCCCCATTGGCTACATCTCAGGCAGCCCCTCATTGGCTACATCTCAGGCAGCCCCTCATTGGCTACATCTCAGGCAGCCCCTCATTGGCTAGGTCTCAGGCAGCCCGTGAGATCTCCGTAGTACACGTGAGAACACAAGAAAAAGCCGACTTCCAAACTCACACCGGTTAAGCAGGAATTGGACAAGCTCACAGCGCTCCCTGTGCGAATTAGAAGCTGATGCCCTGGGGACGTTTCTCTTCAGACAGAGCCCCATCTCAGCTTGCTCTCAGGAGTGACGGGCAGAAGAGAAGCTAGTCTCCCTGGCAGGCCTACGCAATATCCCTTGTATTCTTTCGTACTTAGGCGTGTCCTTCTTCCCCAAACCTTTCCATTCCACACTTTACCTTCTCCAACTACCACATACCCCTCTCCCGCAGGAGAGGAACAACACGTCTTCAATGATCGTCATCTCGGATAGTCCTCTGGTTAGGGGAAGGAGGCATGCCACTGTCAGCTGTTCAGTTAGCACAGGCTCCCCCAACTACAACACCCACCTGTTTCTCCCCCACCCCCCATAAACCTGTTGAAAGGATCCTGAAACTTTCTATCAAAGTCCCTCATCGGAGATATCTGGGGTGCGGTCACGTGTGTCACCGTGTTCCCCCTCCTATGGAGGGGGAATAGCTTCATGCCACTCCCTCCTCTCCCTAGGCTCCCCCAGCATCTCTTCATTGTCACAAGAGTCCTACATCACCAGCATGGCTTTTTCCTTCCCGGGCCTGTGACCCAGAGTGAGTGTAAACTGCCACTCTGTGGAGAGGGGTCCTGAACTGCTACCCAACCGCCAGCATGTCACAGGCCAGCATATCCAAAGGCATGAGTCAAAGAGCACAGCATAGTTCTGGTCGGGGCTTAATTATACTCCATGTTCTTTATCAAAACTACCAAATGTACATAGTAATTATAATTAGTATACTTACAAAACCAAAACAAGTAGATATAATAATCATGTGTTTAGCAATAGCTAATTGTTCTCTATCATTAATTCATCTGGATTTCCCTCTTAGCCCTAATTAGCACAACTTGTCCATGGTTTATTATTTAGGTCTTTACCTATGCTTTTGAGGTAGTGTCTTACCTTGGTCTAGCTCTGGCTGGCCTGGAACTTGTACTGATCCTTCTCATGCCTCAACCTCCCAGTGCTGGGATTACAGGGTGTATCACCGTGCCTAACCACTTGTTTTGTTTGTTTGTTTTTTGTGTTTTTTTTTTTTTTTGTTTTTCGAGACAGGGTTTCTCTGTGTAGCTTTTGGTGCCTGTCCTGGATCTTGCTCTGTAGACCAGGCTGGCCTCGAACTCACAGAGATCCGCCTGGCTCTGCCTCCCGAGTGCTGGGATTAAAGGCGTGCACCACCACTGCCCAGCTTTAAAGACAACTTTTTATTATTATTATTATTATTATTATTATTATTATTATTATTATTATTATTATTTTGAGACAGGATCTCACTTTGTAGCTCTCAATAGCCTAGCCCTTCCTGGCACTTGCTATATACCCTAGGCTGGCCTTGAACTCAGGTCCACCTGCTTCTGCCTCCTAAGTGTAGGGATTAAAAGTACCTACCACCGCCCAGCACCTAACCACTTTCTAATGTCTTCATTTTGTTTGTTTGGGTTGAGTTTCTTGTTTGTTTGTTTTGGCACAGGGTCTCACGTAGCTCAGGCTGGACTTGAACTTGATATGTAGCTAAGGATAACCTTGAAGTTCTGATCCTCCTGCCTCCACCTCCCCAGTACTGGGATTATAGGTGTGAGCCAGCATGACCAGCTTGTGCAGTGCTGAGGCTTGAACCCAGGACTTCATGCCTGCTGGGTAAGCACTCCACCAGCAGAGTTACATCTCCATCCTTCCACTTTTGAATTTTTTTAAATTTATTATTTTTATTTTATGTGCATTGGTGTTTTGCCTGAATGTATGTCTGTGAGGGTGTCAGATCCTCTGGAACTGGAGTTACAGACAGTTGTGAGCTGCCATGTTGGTGCTAGGAATTGAACCCAGGTCCTCTGGAATAGGAACTAGAGCTCTTAACTGCTGAGCCAGCTCTCCAGCCCCCACTTTTGAATTCTAATGAATACTTTAAGATATCTCTGGTAGTGTTTGATAGATAGATAATGTCAAAAGCCACGGATTTTTGTGCTTTTTTAAACAGGAGAAACATTCAATTGCATTGATAATTTCCAAGTATACATTGCCACCAACTCTTATCTTCAGATTCCTATTTTCTCCCCTCTCTCTCCTTCTCCCCTATCTCTTTCTCTCTGTTATTTTGAGTCCAGTCTCAGACCCACAGCTGTCCTCCTGCCTCAGCTTCCTGAATGTTGGAATTCAGGAGTGGGCCACTGCATCTGGCTCAGATTCTGTTTGGCTGCTTTCTTCCTCCTCCTCCTCCTCCTCCTCCTCCTCCTCCTCCTCAGTTAGTGAGATGGAAACCAGGCAGAATGCCTCATAATGGCCTGTGCAATATCTATCTATCTATCTATCTATCTATCTATCTATCTATCTATCTACCTACCTACCTACGTATGTATGTATCTATCTATCTATTTATGCATCTAGCTATGTATCATCTATCTATCTATGTATCTATCTATCTATCTATTTATCTATGTATCTATCTATCTAGGTATCTATGCATCTATCTATCTATCTATCTATCTATCTATCTATCTATCTATCATCTCTCTATCATCTCTCAATATCTATCTATCTACCTACCTACCTACGTATGTACATATCTATCTATCTTCTATCTATCTATCTGTCATCTCTATCATTTCTCAATATCTATCTATCTATCTATCTATCTATCTATCTATCTATCTATCTTTTCAATCAGCAGATTCATGGACAATTTTATGGCTTTGGTCCAAGCTTCACAGGCTGTACGTGTCTACAAGAAGCCTCATCCAGTGCAGAAGAACTGGTCTTTAGCACACAGGCGGGTCTATTTTAAGAAGCTTATCTCTCACTCTCTTGGTTTTTTTTAAATATAACACTTGAAAATACATTTCAGCAGAATGTAACAGGTTCTCAAGCAGAGCTGTGGAAGAGATTTACTCCCAAGTGGGTGCAGATTATCCCGCCAATTGACATCCATTCTCTATTAATTTTCCTGGAGTGTGTCCTCAGCTTCTCAGTTCTCATTACATGCACTTTTAATCCTACCCGAACTCCTTCCTACTTGCTCCAAAACCTCTCATAATGTGATAAAAAGGGAATCCCCCGTGGTCAAAATTACAATTCGGGAAAATCTGCTACAAATTAATTGTGTTCCCTAGTCACAATTACTGACATTATTATGTTGCCGATTAACTACTTTTTAACTGGAGACAGAAAAATTCTTAATTCAGTTTTTTTTTGGGGGGGGTTTACTTCATCCACCTATTTATTTATTTATCTATCTATTCATTCATTCATTTATGTATTTATTCATTCATTCATTTATTTGTAGCCCAGGCTGGCTTCGCGCTTGCTGTGTAACCAAAGATGACCAGGAACTTATAATCCTTCCGCCTCTATCTCCCAAGAGCTGAGATCACAGGCGTTCCTCATTGTGAGGTTTTTTTTTTTTTTTTTTTTTTTTTTTTTTTTTTTGGTTTTTCGAGACAGGGTTTCTCTGTGTAGCTTTGCGCCTTTCCTGTAAGTCACTTGGTAGTCCAGGCTGGCCTCGAACTCACAGAGATCCGCCTGGCTCTGCCTCCTGAGTGTCATTGTGAGGTTTTTGCTGTACTGGGGATGGAAGTCAGGGCTTCCTGTAAGCTGCCCATCGCTCTAGCAACTAAGCTACATCTCTAGCCCCAGAGACCAAGGTTTAAACAACCACTTGATGATTCTGATTTAGCAAACAAATTCAATTTCACAAATAGGATTAGGGATCAGGGTAATTTCCACCAGTTATGGGGGGGAGTGTTTCCGAAGCAGACTTACCAGTGACTGTGCTTTCCTGAGCCTGGCTCTCTCCTCAAGCCTGTTTTTCTTCTCTCGCAACTGCCGCTTGGAGTCTGGGGTCACTTCGTTTCTTTTTCTTCTTCTGCAAAATTGCAAAAGTGATGGGAAAATTATAACTGATCATTTTGAGGCAGGATCTTACTATACAACCCTTGCTGACTGCTCCTGAATCTTGCTATGTAGACCAGGATGCCTCAAAACTCCGACTGATCATCCTGCCTCTGACTCCTGAGCTTGGATCACAGACAGGCACCACCATATCCAGTTCTTCAGACTTTTTAAAAAGGAAGAATGATACAAAAATTTGAAAAACCGTTATTTATAGGAAGGATTCCCATATGAATCCTCCAGAAACAATATGGAGACCTAGGGGCAAAAGCTAGACTCCCCCAAACATAACCTTGCGTTGTGCACTTGACTTTGGAACCATCGAAAATGTTCTCCAGAGTATAAGCTGAGACGAAAGAGAGGAAATAACAAAGAGCAAATGAAACAAGTTTGATCTCATCCCTACAGTTGGTGGTACTGCCACACACAAAGCAGGTTTTCCTTGGGCCTTTAATGCTGTTATTTATCTGGATACTCTCTCTTTTCTTCCTTTCTGTCTGTCTTTTTTTCTTTTTCTTTTTTTAGACAGGGTCTATTTATGTAGTCCTGGCTGGCCTGGAACTCATGTAGACCACGCTGAGTTCAAACTCACAGAAACTGCCCCTGCCCCTCTGCCCCTCTGTGCCCCTGCCCCTCTGCCTCTGCCCCTCTGCCTCCTGAGTGTTGAGATTAAAGGTGCGCACCACTATGCCCAGTCTTTCTGAATATTCTTAGTAGGATATCTTCCAAAGATAAAAGTACAGACCAGGAAATCTGAAGTTATTTTCAGTAATCATGTGTGTGTTAGTATTAACACTTGTTTGCTATCACACATGCTAGGAGAAGGCAGAGGCCATCAATCCATGGCCCACAGGAAAGTCCAGTCTGCTGCCTACTTTTGTTGCTAAAGTTGTATTAGAAAACGGTGGTTTTTGTGTGTGGAACGTCTAGGCAATTTTTCAGGCTATGCTATCAGAGCTGAGCAGTTGTGCTGTGGAGCCTATGTCCTACAGAGTCTAAAATATCTGCCTTCTGGCCCTTTCTAGACTAAGTTTGCCTGAAATAGTGGATCTAGGTAATGTGTTGTGCTTCCATGGTTACCAACAACACAGAGAGAACCAGAAATGGAGGTGCGTGTCTTTGTTCATATACTCTAGAGCCTCTGATTCTGACTACTACTGGTGTGGCCAGGGTCAGAGGACAGGGGACATGAGAAGATGCACGGTGGTGGGGCGCTCCAGAGTCATGTGAGGAGCATGACAAATGGCCCCATTCCTACAACAAACTGCAAGGGGTGGGGACAAGGCAGAGGAGGGCGGGAAGGAAAGGAACAACAGAAGAGGAGGAGGCGGAACAGAAGGTTAATTTATAATCCAGGGCAAGAATGGACACGTGAGTCAAATACAACCTGTATTTTAGACCGTATCTGGAACCTTATTAAAACAAAGCATTCATTAAAAAGCCAAACATCTGTGTGACATTCAAGGAACCCTGAGCACTGATGACCCTTAACTGTATTAAAGAGTTATTCATTGAGTTAGATGAAGATGGTGTCAGATTATGATTTTTATAAAGAGTCCTTACCACTTAAGAATACAGATAGAATCAGTACCACTTAAGAATACAGATAGAATCAATCACTCAGGAGGCAGAGGCAGATGGATCTCTGTGAGTTGAAGGCCAGCCTGGTTTACAAAACAAGTTCCTGGACAGCCACAGAGAAACCCTGTCTTGAAAAACCAAAGGTGGTGGGGGGGTAGAATACAGGTAGAAGTATATGGCATATGAAAGAAGTCATATATGAAATAATATAACATTATTTATTTAAAAAATTATTTAGGGGATCCAGACATGGTGATGAATGCTTGTGGTCCCAGCATTGAGAAGATTGAGGCAGGAGGATTGGGAATTTAAAGCAAGCTTGGGCTTCATAGTAAGACCCTGCCTGGCTTAATCATCAGCATCATCATGTAAGGGAAGGGCAGAGTAGGTAAGGAATAAATGACTCCAGATTGGCTATGGATTGCAAATTGTTAACAATTGATGATAGCCACAAAAGCTTAATTTTGATATCTATCTATTATTGAATATCTGTCATAAAAAGCTTTTTATTAAAAAGACTGTAGCTGGGCGGTGGTGGCGCATGCCTTTAATCCCAGCACTCGGGAGGCAGAGGCAGGTGGATCTCTGTGAGTTCGAGGCCAGCCTGGTCTACAAAGCGAGTTCCAGGAAAGGTGCAAAACTACACAGAGAAACCCTGTCTTGAAAAACCAAAAAAAAAAAAAAAAGTAAATAAAATAAAATAAAAAGACTGTGTCTGCCCAAATATCACCTGCCACTTCATTTTCAAGACATCTCCCAGGTTTTAATTGAGGAGTTTCAAATGGACAGAAGAGCTGGCAGGCTAGGGCGATGATCTCAGCCTCAAGTAGATATTAATAACACTTGGCTGTTCTGAGCTTCACTGCACCCTCCACATATATGAGGCTGGGTTGTGTGGTGGTGGTTGTTTGATTAGCTGCAGAAATGACACACCCCTCCTTAATACTTTAACACTCATCTCCTAAGATGAAGACACTTGTCTCCCCACTCACACTAGCATCATTATGTCTTAGGAAATATACATTACTTAATATCACTTAATAATGGTCCATATTCTGCCAGGTGATGGTGGCGCATGCCTTTAATCCCAGCACTCAGGAGGCAGAGCCAGGCGGATCTCTGTGAGTTCGAGGCCAGCCTGGTCTACAGAGTGAGTTCCAGGACAGGCACCAAAACTACACAGAGAAACCCTGTCTCAAAAAACAAAAACAAAACAAAACAAAAGTAATAATAATAATAATGGTCCATATTTAAATTTCTGCAGTTGTTCCAAGGATGCCTTTTGTCATTTCTTTTTTCCCTCCCTCTCTCCTTCCTCCCCTTCCTCCCTCCTTCTCTCTCTTCCTCTTTTCTCCCTCTTTCCCTTCTGTCCTTTCAACTAGGATCCCCTCTAGATTCAAGCTGCACTTGGCTACAGATCCTAGAACTTTCTCCCACCTCCTCCTTTCCTCCATACACAGGTTTTTGTTGTTGTTGAGACAGGATTTCTTTGTGTAACAGCTCTACCTGTCCCGGAACTCGATCTGTAGACCAAGCTGGCCTCAAACTCACAGAGATCTGCCTGCCTCTGCCTCCCAAGTGCTTGGATCAAAGGTGTGCGCCACCATCGCCCAACTTTAATACACAGATTTATTTTTAAGCCAAAATCCCAGAGAATTCAGCACATGCTTACAGTCCTGTGTGTGTCCCTAGATGAGCTACACACTGTGGACCCTGACTGCCCAGCCTCATCCTCCATTCACTCTATTTTAGGCGCAGGACTAGAAGGCAACTTCCAGACCATGTTTAATCCTAAAACTGGCTTAAAATGGCTTTGTTAGCCTGACTTTGCCACACCATCCAACTCGGCCACACGTCGGAAAAATGAATAGCCATCAAATTACAATGTGATGGAGAGCATCCATATACTGAAACTCCAAATATACAGGAAAGCCAGGCATGGTGGCACACACTTATAATCCCAGCACTCAGGGTTCTGAGGCAGGAGGAACACAGGCCTGGGCTACAAAAGGAGACTCTATCTCCACAAACCAACCAACCTCCCAAAGGCAGGAAAGTTGAGAGATTAACAGCACTGTGATGACCCATACAGTCTCTATCTTATTTCAATAATTGGTAATATTTGACCATATATAACTTAACTTTCTACTTCATTGTAATACACTTCTTGGTCTGAGGTTTTTTTGTTTTTTGTTTTGAGGGGCAGGGACGGGATATCTCTATGTAGCCAGGCTAGCCTTAAATGTGCTGTCTTCCTGCCTCAGCCTCCTCAGTGCTGACTATACGTGTGTATATCACCAATATTTCAACTGCCATTTTTCTTTTGAGACAGGGTCTCATTACTTAGCTCAAGCTGCTTCGAACTTGGTCTGATCTTTTTACAAGTCCATCCCTACTTAGCTTGGTTTCCCTGGCCATGAGTTCAACAGAAAGGTCCGTGGCTGTCTTACTACCTCATGCACAGCATGGGGTGGGGGTGGGGGAGGGGATCAAAGTTTGCCCCTCCCTCCTGTCGTTGGTTTATTCCCTGGTAAAGGAAGGAAGTATAAAAAGGAAAAGGAAAAAAAAAATCTAGGACGAACCACACGACGCTGGCTTGGAATTAATATTGAAATAAGACAGCTGGGGCTGGAGCGATGGCTTATCAGTTAAGGGCTCTTCCCGCTTTTTCAGAGGACCCGAGTCCAGTTCCCAGGATCCACACTGAACAGCACACAACCGCCTGTAACGCCAGTTCAAAGGCCTTCTTCTGGCCGCCATGGGCACCCCTCCCAACACACACGTGCATGCACACACAACACATACATACAAATAATTAAGTAACCTTTTAAGTATTTAACGATGGGCTGGCCAGATGGCTCAGCGGGCAATAGTTCTTGCTACACATGCCTAATGATCTGCGTTGGATCCCCTGAAGCCAGGGTGGAAGGAGAGAACTGACTCCTGGAAGCCATCCTCCGACCTCCTCATGTGTGCCGTGACACGCACACACAGTATTTAAAATATCAAGGAAGTTGCACTGCTAAGTCATTACAACTGTAAGAGGCAGACGGATGACGATGAAAAGCACAAACTTGTTGAGAATGGTTAGTCCGCATCGACCTATTGAAAGGCTTCTGATGCTCTCAGTGAGGTCTGGGATCACTTTTTTTTTTTTTTTTTAATCTACTCAAGTGTCAATCAATTATTTTGAAAAGCAAATAGGCTGAGAGGGGCCTGGAGCTTCTCACCCTTTCCAGAAGTGCTCAGGGTCACAGTTGTCTAGATAATTAAAGCGGATGATGTCAGTGGGATGCTTATCCGATGATCGCCACGGTGGAAGCTCTTTCTCCCCTGGGTTAGTCTTCTTTCTTAAGGCGGAGGAGGACCGCAAAGCAAAAGAAGGCGATGGCTTTTCCTCTAGAGAACTGCCGGAAACGGGCTGGACATCGGCAATGATGAATCCATCCTTTGGAGGCGTCTAGAGGAAGAAAATGTATTATTTCTACTCCCAGAGTAGCGGAATATCACCACCGCCACCAAGAGACAAAGGACACAAACATCTTAACCACCCTCATCATCCTCTTCCTCACTATTGCAATGACTGGTGATAATGATGAGGATCACAGCAGCCAGGAGTACTCGGATGTGCACAGCAGTTTCTTTGCATTTTCTTATTCCATCTTCATAGTAATTCATTTATTATTATCTATACTGGGTCTTGTGTAGCCCAAGCTCACCTCAAACTCCCCGTAGAGCTCAATATGATCTTGAACTCTTGATCTTCCTGTCTCCCCGCCTCCTGAATGCTGAGGTTACAGGCCTATAACACCAGGTGTATATAGTGCTGGGAACTGAATTTAGGACTTGGTGACCTACAGGCAAACACTCTACCAGCTGAGCGGTAGCACCAGCCTTATTTGGTTTTCAAAGGCAGTGTCTCAGTCTGTGACCCAGGCTGGCCTTAGGTAACCAGGCTGGCTTTGAACTCACTGCCATCCTCCCTCCCCAGCCTGAGAAGTGCCCGGATTATAGGTGCGAGCACCACTCCCAACTTTCACAGTAATTTAAAACCAGCTCATCATTGCTTCTGTTTTACAGAGGCAGAATCTGAAGCCAGAAGAAACTATTTCATTGATCCATAAGGACATAAGTAGAATTTCAGTTTGAACACAGGATTCAAATCCAAGTCTGTTGTGCTTCAAGTCCATACGTTAAACCTTCTTATCCTACCCTGTAGCTCTACACCCCATGATCTAGCTTGTCACACTGCAGTTAATATATTCATAAAAGAGTGCACCCCCTCCCCCCACAGTGCCCTACCCTTAAAGAACTGACAGACAAGTTCAAGTTGCACTGGGGTAGACTGTAGCTGTGTCAGTTATCTGAAGCGAAGAAACTCCCGAAGAATAATTCTATTTCATTTCCCAAATTAGAAGTCTGTCTTTTGTGCACTTGGTTCGTAAAGTGTTTTCAGTGCGGGTTTAGCCTAAGGGAAGTGGTACTGGTATGTTGGGAAGCCATTAAGAGCTCAATTTTTGTTCATTAAGAGATTAGGGAGGCTTTGCTCGGTAAATCAACTTGCTTCAGTTGTGAGTGAAAAATCAAGAATTTCCCCAGCCGGGACTGGGATGTAGTCTCTGGTAGAGACTTTGCTTGGGTCTTATATTCCATACCCAGCTCCACCACCAAAAAAATAAAGAAGGAAGGGAGGAAGAAAAGAAAGCAGGAAGGAGAGAGAAGCAATCCCCCTAGCTCCCCAAGCATAACAAGGCCCATTGTTTGACCACTCCTTGTTTGTTGTGTTCATGTCTACTCCAAGATTATCCTCAGTATTAAGTGTTTTGATTACAGTGTTTATTTGGGTATGTCATGGTTACTGGACTGAGTTTTATGGAAACCCGGTTAGGATCTCTGTACTGTTAGCACCTAGCACATACCAGTGTTTGATAAATATTTACTCACTTAATGAATGATTATGGCTGTATCAGTTTGCTATTTGCTGCTATGATAAACTCCATGACCAAAAGCAACTTGGGGAGAAAAGGGTTCATTAAATCACACAGGTTACCGTTGTATAATGTTATTTTAAGGTGTGTTACACTGGTTTATACTGTGGAACATTTGTTTTAATGATGCAAAGATGTGTTGCGTTCTTTTATGTTGCATTTGTTTAACTCTGTGAAGCTGTCTGTCTAAAACTGTGCCTGTCTAAAACACCTGATGATCTAATAAAGAGCTGACTGGCCAATAGTGAGGTAGGAGAAAAGATAGGCAGGGCTGACAGGCAGAGAGAATAAATAGAAGGAGAAATCTGGGAGGAGGAGAAGAAAGAGCAAGAGAACAAGGAGAGGAGGATGCTAGGGGCCAGCCACCCAGCTAGCCACAGAGTAAGAGTGGAAGTAAGATATACAGAAGTAAGAGAAAGGTAAAAGTCCAGAGGCAAAAGGTAGATGGGATAATTTAAAGTTAAGAAAAGCTGGCTAGAAACAAGCCAAGCTAAGGCTAGGCATTCATAATTAAGACTAAGCCTCTGTGTGTGATTTATTTGGGAGCTGGGTGGCAGGCCCCCCAAAAGAGCAAAAACAAACAACAACAGGTTATAGTCCATCGTCAAGGGAAAGCAGGGAAGGAACTCGAAGCAGAAACCATGGAGGAATGCTTGTTGTTGGCTTGCTTCCAGGCTCATGCCCAGTTACCTTTCTTATCTAGCTCAAGGCCACCTGACTAGGGTTAGCACCACCCGTAGTGGACTGGGACCTCCTACATCAATTAGCAATCAAGACAATGGCACACACACACACACACACACACACACACACACAATTTAATATTGGTATAATTCTGTATGTTGAACAGGTTCCGTCTAGAGTGGATGCTCATTTCTATTAGCTTATTTAGAAATAAACCCTTGTCTTTTTGCTGGAGGAGTTCTACTTTAATCCTTGTAATGGTTGATATTGTCAATGTGACAGGATCTAGAATCACTTAGGAGACAAACCTCTGGGCACATCTGTGAGGGAGTTTCTAGACTGGGTTAATTGAAGTGAGAAGAGCCACCCTAACTGGGGCAGCATCATTCTGTGCACTGAGGTTCCAGAACCACGTATATAGTATGCCTGTACACCAGAAGAAGGCACCAGATCTCATTGTAGATGGTTGTGAGCCACCATGTGGTTGCTGGGAATGGAACTCAGGACCTCTGGAAGAGCAGCCAGTGCTCTTAGCCCCTGAGCCATCTCTCCAGCCCCCTCAGCTCTTAGCTTCTTGACTGTGGATGCAATGTGACCAGCTGCTGTAGGAATTTAGAAAAGTTGTCGGATCTGGGGTAGACATTAGAATAAACAGTTTTCACTGTATTCAGGGTAGACATTAGAGTGAATATCTGCTTTCTGGAAGTACTTTGACCTTGAGGAATCATTGTGGAAAACAGTAAAGAATCTTTGTGGAAAAATGGTGATTGTGCCGGGCGGTGGTGGTGCACGCCTTTAATCCCAGCACTCGGGAGGCAGAGGCAGGCGGATCTCTGTGAGTTCGAGGCCAGCCTGGTCTCCAAAGCGAGTTTCAGGAAAGATGCAAAGCTACACAGAGAAACCCTGTCTCGAAAAACCAAAAAAAAAAAAAAAAAAAAAAAATGGCGATTGTTTTCCATGATTTGTAGAGCTGTTCTTCTGAAAGGGCGTTGCAGCCTTTGCATGACTTTGGTTATAAGACGCCTCTGACACACCTGAGGTTCTTAGATTATTGTGTATTTACACAGTAAGGGACTAAAGTCATGAGGGCATGTGACGCTCTCCTTTAGAGAGACGTATAGATTAGATTAGGGATCTTGGTGTGAGGAAATACTTTACCCAAAAAACAACTTTGTGTGTAACAATCAATAAATATGCCTTTGTACGGCTGTTCGAGGTTCAGTTCACCAGAGGCTGGACCTTCCTGCTACCACACAGGCCTTACAATTTCATCCTGGAGTGACCTCTTTCTTTGACTGACCCACGTGACACAGAACACCCTGACAACCTGCCTCCTCAAGATCCTTCAGCCACAACTCTCCACCATTGAGGACCGTGAGCCAAAATAAACCTTTCTTTCCAAATTGCTCTTGCCAGCAATGCTAAAAGCAATTAATGCAATACTATTAAAAATAATATGGGATGATTTTGAAAACCCGGGAAGTATTTAAGTATAAGTAATTGTAAAATATAGAAAAAACTTATTAATTCTGAATAGCACAAAATGCTTGGTACTCTAACAAATGGGCAATAATGAAACCCACACTGATGAAGTAAACAAGTTTTGCTCTTACCATTTCAAATCTTTTATGCTGGTGCTGGGGTTAAACCCTGGGCCTGACACATGCTAGGTAAGCACTGAGTCTGCTGCTAAGCTATGTTCCCAGCCTGAATGAAGTCTTTCGGGAATTCTGTCATCATGAATGGATGTTGAATCTTGTTAGACGGCTTGTTTGCATCTCTGTATTAAAATGATCCTATATTTCTTTTTTTTAAATTCTGTGAATATTCACATCAACTGAGTACGTGTGTATGTGTCTGTGAACACATGTGTAAACATGATTGTGAAGGACAGAGTTAAACCTTGGGTGTCAGGGTCTCTCATTGAGACCGGGAGCTCTCCCATTTGTCTTAGCTCAGCCCAAGGGATCATCCTCTCTCCACATCCCCAGTGCTGGGATTACAAGTGTGTTCCACAATTTCTGGCTTTTTTATATAGGTGCTGGAGATCCAAACTCAGGCCATCACGCTTGCATGAGGCCTTAGTGTAGATCGCCATGACAGTTGATAATGCATGTGGACCCCATGATGCATTGTGGTCCATATCTATAGTAACAGCATCCCTAATGCTGAGGCAGGAGGCTCTTGAAATCAAAGCCAGCCTAGGCTACACAAGGAGATGCTGTCTCAAACAACAAACTAATTAACCCACTGACCGACCAACAAACTTCAGCTCATTGTATAGAATCATAACAAATCTGAATATGTAAATTCTAATGGCCCATGCTGACAAGTACTGAATGTGATGCAGAGTTCCCGTGTCAGAACTGTCTGGTGATTGAGGGAGAGGCACATAAATCAGGGTGGGGATACAGAGAGGAGCTCCCCAGCCCTGGCCTCTACAGGTAGCTGTGGTTGGAAGGCAGCAGGTGAGAGCTCTCTGTGGCATGAATATCCTAAAAAAGGTCTATGAAGCCTCAGACGAGGAGTAGTTTGAAGTCATGGGGTATGTCCTTTGACCCATTGCCATCATTAACTCACAGTTCTAGAATTTGCTACAGCTGATGTTTTCTAAGTGTGCTGCTTTCTGTCTCAGACTTGCCTTGAGTTTGCTGACGTGAAGTTCTCCCACCATTTGAATGTAGTGCTTTTTCCAGACGCCCTGCTCAAATGGCGTCGGGGAGAAGCTGATGTACCAGTTAAAGCGCAGACACTTGAGCATCCATAGCTGGTCCAACTCGGCCAAGCTCTTCCAGTACCAGCTCACCTGGGAAAACAAAGCAGCCTATTCACTTCATAGCCTTGTCTCTGCTAGTGCTTGAGCTGTGCTGCGGGACCCCAGATAACTTCTGTCAGTCTCCTGAAAGGCACAGCTGGTAATGGAACACTTCCGATCCTCCTGTGGTGTGCTGGAATTACAGGTATGCCCCACCAAACCTGCTTTGCGGGTTTATATCTTAATTTAACTCCAGTTAATTTTTTATTATTATTTAAACATTTATTTATTTTTACTTTTATGTGCATCAATATTTGCCTGTGTGTATATACAGGCATGCAATCCAGAAGAGAGGGTCAGATGCCCTGGAATTGGAATTATAGACAAGTTGTAAGCTGCCATGTAGGAGCTGGGAACTGAACCTGGATCCTCTGCAAGAACAGCAAGTGCTCCTAACTGCTCAATCATCTCTCCAGCCCCCTAACTTCAGTTTAATACAATAAGGAATTATTTGCAAGAAATAGTGGCTTCTTTTTTTCCCCCTAAGCCCTCTGAGGGTATACTGGCACACACGGATCTACCTATCTTTCTTTCGGTTTTGTTTTTGAGAAAGGATTCACTGTGTTGTCCAGGGTAACACTGAACTCACAATGGTCCTCCCTGCCTTAGCTTTCCAAGTGCTGGGTTCACAGGTATGCAGCTTAGCTTAGATAGCTTTCATTCTTAGTCCTCTTAGTACATACTTCATAAATGCCCTCTTTTGAGCTTTTCTATTTACAGGTGACCTGCACTGCACCGTCTATGCCAGTGATTCTCAACCCGTGGGTCACGACCCTATGGTGAGTGTTGAATGACCTTTTCACAGGGGCTGCATATCAGGTATCCTGCCTATCAGATATTTACATTACGATTCATAACAGCAAAATTACAGTTATGAAATAGCAACGAAATAATTGTATCGTTGGAAGTCACTGCAACATGAAGAGCTGTATTAAAGGGTCATGACATTAGGAAGGTTGAAAACCATTTGGTCCAGGATGTTATTGTAGCTGTGTGCTAGGTGGTAATGCTGTGCTGCTGAGGAACCACTTATATGTGTATAGCTCCTAGTAGTTTTTGTCATCTGATACTCATGGTGTCTTACACACACACACACACACACACACACACACACACACACACACACACACCTCTGAGTCTCCAGAGTTAGGCATTAAAAAAAGGTCAAGGGCCAGTCATCCAAACTTTGCAGACTAAAACCTATTGCTTGGCTTTTTGCACACGTGTGTGGGGTTCATCTTGGGGTTATTCCACCTTCAGAGTTTACTAAGGCTGTCCCAACAAACTGTCACGTGCCACTCCATTGCCTTTACCTGTGCACAGCGACAAAGGCTCCGGGGGTCCAAGAAGGAAAAGATATAGACAGATAACACCCGGGGAAGCTTGGTAGTAAAATCCAGGGCCTCTGCTGGGATTTTCTCCTGCAGCTTTCGACAACAGAACTTCTGCTGGGACAGGGAGCAGCGCTCTAGCAGGCCTGTAAGAATTCTTCTCCTTTGAGAGTCTGTCCATTTGTCGAACTGAGGAAAAAGAACAAGAGAGTCCCATGCTTCTTCTGATCCATCGTGAGGGAGAGAAAGGCACAAAAAGTGCGTTTAGTGAGTTCCTGCTAATGCATGGCATGCATTTGTTATGATACCAGCTCCGTAAATCCCACATTTCACTGCTGACTTATTTTTCTTTCTCACATTTCCATGTGCATGACCAGACTGCATCTCCAGAAGTGCATCTGACCTAGACCTTCAGTGTACAGGTAATAGTCAACTTGACTGACACAGCCTAGAACCACCTGAAAAGAGTATCTCATTGAGGGTTTGTCTGCATCAGGTTGATATTTGGGTATGTCCCTGGGGGAGACGGTTTTGATTGTGTTAATTGAGGTGGGATGATCCAGTCTATATTGGGAGGCACCATTCCCTAGGCAGGGGATGCTGTACTATCTAAGTGCTGGGAGAAAGCTGAGCACATGTGCATGTACACACTTGTTTTTCTCTGCTCTTGGCTGTAGATGTGACTAGCTGTTTTAAGTTACTGCTTTGACATCCCTGCTGTGGTGGACGCTAACTGGAATTGTGGACTAAGATGAACCCTTTTCTCCCATGGATTGCTTTTTGTTGAGGTGTTTTATCCTAGTAACAGACATGACACTAGGAAGATATAATAAATAAGTGTGCATGTGTAGAGCAGAGAGAAATGAATGATCCTTGATTGCTCTCAGTTAGCTTTCTCCTGTCTGATTTAGTTCAGAAGCTCAGGTTCAGGAAATGGTACTACCTACAAAACCACCCTCCACAGATATGTCTAGAAGTCAGTCTAGTCCAGATAGTTCTTCAGTTGAAACTCCCTTCTCAGATGAGTCTAGGCTGTGGCAAGTTGACAGTTAAAACTTTCCTTCATAGTATGTGTGTGAATTCATTTTTGTTGGGGTACAGATAAGAGAAATGCCACTTTAGGGTGTGCCCCTCTGGCCCTCAGACTCTTTTCCAGCTTCAAAAGGAATCTGTCTTTCAACAACTTCGATTACCTTATGATGATTTCAGAACTTGTTGGCTGTAAAGGTCCCACTTTCTCTACCTCCCTCCAAATACTGATTCAGAGCTATTAGAATGTGTGTCTCCTGGATTACGGTTTCCTAGACCCCACATCAAATTTGTTTATACGTTCTGAGTTTAGATTGTTTGACACGAGTGAATCCTCAGTGTCTTGCTCGCTGTCAATTTTCTACTGTTTGTAATATTCAAAATGTCCTCATTTATACACTGGGGGTCATTATAGAACATTGTAGGGATATTGTGAGGATTACACACTATTGTGAGGATTACATACATGTATGTATGTGTGTGTGTACATTGCATGAAGGACACCTATCATTCTAAAATGCCATGGAGATCTTAAAAACAATACGTGAGTGGTTAAATCTATGTATAAAAGATAGGCAAGAAACTTTAAAGGCACCAAGAGGTCATGTTTGTTCCTTGACAAAGACCGGCCCAGGTAAGCTCACCAGATTTCCTTAGTGCCACAAGAGAGATGAACTCACATTATAGTGTGACTTAAGATGAATATAAAAGAACATTAGGATCATAAAAACCCATAAATGAAAACATTGAAACACTCTCTCGGAGATTAAAAAGATAATTACATGGAGTCTTCATTTGTCTTCCCCAATCGAGAAAGTCCAGGATAATTTACTTTTGGCTCGGATAGGTGTTTTTTGCCTCAGGGATTTTCCTTTCTAATTGTGTTTGTTTAAGCTAATAGAAAATGAATTTACATTCCTTGAACCCCTACCAATTCAAGGTGGGGGTGATGACTCAGAATACTGAGCAGCAGGGGAAAAAAATCCCTTTGGAGTTTAGAAGGTGTTAGGATAAACCAGGAAATAGATAATCCATGAAGAGTTCACTGTGCAGGAATTTAGCAATCTCCCTCATTTCTTGCATCAATTCTTCAGTAAAATCCACAGCATAAAAGCAAGGGAGCAGCGTGTGAGGCCGGGGAGCCATTAGAGTTCTCTTATTCTCCTGTCACACCGTGTTGGGGTTCACTCCTGAAGGACGCTGTTCTGTGGGTATTCTTGGTAACTGTGAGCATGCTATTTTTAGAGTCACTGTAGCTTGAGCTGTCTGAGTTCACCAATCTCACAATGAACGGCAAAGGCAGGGGGGTGATTTGGGGGCCTTCCCTGGACGTGTGTGTGTGTGTGTGTGTGTGTGTGTGTGTGTGTGTGTGTGTGTGATGCTGGGAATCATCACCTACCACTTTATGCATCAAGGCAGGGTCTCAACCAGATCCAGAGCGCATAGGGTTATCTCGATAGTGAGCTTGCTCTGGGGATCCTAGCTCTGCTTTCAAAGACTAGACTTACAGGCAGGTACGACATCCATCGGGAATTTATCTGGGTTCTGGGGACCCAAACTCCTATCCCCACACTTCTGAGTGCAAGTACTTTAACCACTGAGCTATCTCCCTAACCCTATAGAGGATTTTTTCTTTTTAAAGATAGGGTCTCATTGCATATCTCAGACTGCCCTTGAACTCACAATCCTCCTGCCTCAACCTCTGGAGTGCTGGGATAACAGGTGTGTACCACCACACAATGCAATGCCACACACAGCTTCAGTTTCTCATTATTTTGCTTGTTGCTATTCTAAATCTCAAACAGAACCATGCGTACATGCATGAACAAAAATGAAATTATTTACAGGGCTGGAGAGATTGCTCAGCAGTTAAGAGAGCTTACTGTTCCTGTAAAGGACCTGAGTTTGATTCCCTGTACCCATGTCAGGCAGTTCACAACTTCCTGTAACTCCAGCTCCAGGAGATCGGACACCCTCTTCTGAACTCCTTAGGTACCTGCACTCAAGTGCACAGACTGAAGGGACTCTAGCCCGCTGGAACATCGCAAACATGGCCCTGGCAGGCTTTGCCCTTCTCTCCCATCCCCTCTGCCTTGCTGAAAATTGTGAGATTACATTCCAAAAACTAACCACCAAGATCTATTCCCTTATTTGGCCACTTCCTTCTCCCAAGGCTGATTTCAAAGGTCCAGCTGTCAAAGTATTGAAGTCCAGCAATCGAAAGCCCCCTTTGGCCAGGCGGTGGTGGCACATTCCTTTAATCCCAGCACTCGGGAGGCAGAGACAGGCAGATCTCTGTGAGCTCAAGGCCACCCTGGTCTACAGAGTGAGTTCCAGGACAGCCAGGGCTACATATTGAAACCCTGTCTCGAAAAGAACAAAAACAAAAACAAAAACAAACAAACAAACAAAAAACCAAAAAAAAAAAAAAAAGAAAGAAAGAAAGAAAAAGAAAAAAGAAAAAGCCTCCTTGGCTCACCTAATTAACATGCCCAATTAAAATTAAACACCTTATCCTAACACTGGGCTTCCCCACATTGCCTTTATAAACTGCCATTTTCCTATGGGTCACATCTGTCTGCTCTCTATCCAGAGGCAGTCCTTTGTCCCTCCAGGACAAATATCCCTTCCAGCTCTCTCGTGTTCTCTTCCCCTTCTCCCTTATCCTCTGTCTCCTGTCTTTGTCTCTTAATCCCAGTCCTCTGTCCCTCTGGGGCAAATAAATCTCCTTTGTGTTGAGAACACGGTCTTTGGGGTCCTGAGCTGAAACAGATCCCTTACACATACTCTGCCCCCCTCACATACACACATAATTAAAAGTAAATATTTTTAAAATTTGAAGACTTTGAAGGGCTGAGAGATAACTCAGTTGGCAAGGGGTTTGCCTTTCCAGATCTGAATGGAGACCCACGTAAAAGCTGGATGTGGCAGCACACACCTGTAATCCCAAAGTTGGAGAGGCTGAGATAAGGGAATCTGTGGGGCTCGATGGCCAGCCAGTCTGGCCGAATCCGTGAGTTCCAGTAAAAAGACCCTGTCTTAAAAGTAATGTGGCCGGGCGGTGGTGGCGCACGCCTTTAATCCCAGCACTCAGGAGGCAGAGCCAGGCGGATCTCTGTGAGTTCGAGGCCAGCCTGGTCTACAGAGCGAGATCCAGGAAAGGCGCAAAACTACACAGAGAAACCCTGTCTCGAAAAACCAAAAAAAAAAAAAAAAGTAATGTGAAGGGCCAGCGAGATGGCGCAGCAGTTAGAGGGGCATGGAGTACAGTCCAGTGACCTGAGTCTGAGCTCAGGAATCTACATAAAGATGGAAGGAGAGAACAGATTCCACAAAAGTGTCCTCTGACCTCCACATGAGCATTGGGGCACATGTGCCCTTATACAAGCATCACACAACACACACACACACACACACACACACACACACACACACACACACACAAATGAAAAATAAAGTGACTGTGTTTTAGTATAGTCACAAGGTCACAAAGCCATCACCACTATCTAATCTCAGCACATTTTTGTCCCCCCTTAATAATAATAATAATAATAATAACAGAAATGGTACCCTGTTCTCTGAGGTTCCTTATATCTAATTTTTCATCTGTTATCTGCTACCTTACAGTAGAGACTCAGTAACCAAATATGTTAGTCTGGGAGCCATGAAGCCGTTTTACTGCCCATGCATTTGGAATCCAATCTCATCCTCACCCTAGGATGGTGAGTGAAATGAGGCACTCACGGCCTCATCCACCAGAATTTGAATGGCTTCATCATTTATTTTTCATATTTTGAATTACCATCAGATTATTAAAGATAAAATGATTTGAAAAAAAGAAATACATAAGTATTTCATTGTATTTTATTTTATTTATTTATTTTTTTGGGTTTTTTTTTTTTTTTTTTTTTTTTTGGTTTTTCGAGACAGGGTTTCTCTGTGTAGCTTTGCGCCTTTCCTGGAACTCACTTGGTAGCCCAGGCTGGCCTTGAACTCACAGAGATCCGCCTGGCTCTGCCTCCCGAGTGCTGGGATCAAAGGTGTGCGCCACCACCGCCCGGTATTTTTTTTGTTTTTTGAGACAGGGTTTCTCTGTGTAGTTTTAGTGCCTGTCCTGGATCTTGCTCTGTAGACCAGGCTGGCCTCGAACTCACAGAGATCCGCCTGCCTCTGCCTCCCGAGTGCTGGGATTAAAGGTGTGAGCCACCACTGCCCGGCTTTTTTTTTTTTTTTTAAAGATTTATTTATTATGCATACGATATCCTGCTGACATGTACCCCTGCATGCCAGAAGAGGGCACCAGATCTCATTACAGATGGTTGTGAGCCACCATGTGGGTGCTGGGAATTGAACTCAGGACCTCTGGGAGAACAGCTAGTACTCTTAACCACCGAGCCGTCTCTCCAGCCCCTCATCGTATTTTAAACTGCTTTTGGGGGTGAGGTAGGGGGAGACTGATTTATGGAAACAAGGTCTCAGGAGCCCAGGCTGGCCTTGAACTTGGTACGAAGCCTGAGACTGTCCTTGAGTTGATTCTCCCACCTCTGCTTCCCAAGTGCTGGAATTACAGGCGTTTAAGTGAACAGTGACATTAAATAAATTCACATTATATTGCAACCACCAATACCACCTGTCTCTAGCACGTTCTCAAACCAAGAGCCTGCACGCATCAAACACTAGTTCCCCAACCCCTGGTCACTGCTATTCTACTTCCTATCTTTATGAATTTGCCCATTCTAAGTACCTCATATAAAGTGGAGTTATACAATATTTGTCTTTGAAACTGGCTTATTTCACTTAGCACACAATGCCTTCAAAGTTTGTCCACATTATAGCATGTATCAGAAATACTTTCCTTTTATGGCTGAATAACATCCCATTGTATGGACACAGCACATTTTGTTTATTCATTTACCTGTGGATGGATAATTGGATTGTTTGTGCTTTTGACGATTTTGAATACTGTTGCTATAAACATTAATGTGCAAGCTTTTGTATGTCCATATGTTTTCGATTCTCTTGAGTAGCAGAAAATATTTAGTTGAGACTGTAGAGTAATTCAACAAGTAATTTGTTGCCCAGAAACACATAACTTGACATTATTCAGTAATGGATAATGACCTTTGGGACTCTGTCTCCTCATTAGAGGAACAGATGAGAAAGTTCTCATTGATGATGAAGGGTAGCTGAAGCTTGCTAGGCAAAAGCATGAAGCCCTTAGTGTTCTCATGCGGAAGTTCAAGTATATGCAGAAGAGTCCCTGGTACCTGGATGCTGGGGCCCAGTGGATGAACTGCACCGGCTACAAAGACATCCACTCTCAGATCCAAACCCACACCACTACGCTCTGTGAGTCCAGGAGGCTGGAACTCGGTCGCCATATTTCTCCTTGACAGCTAGCTCTCTACTAAACACTGCCTGTGAAGAGCGAGGCACTAGAGGGGAGCCGAGGAAGAAGAGACACACACACCCCTTTCTGTTTGCCTGCTGTTCCTGTCAGGACCTCCATGACTCTTCACCCTGGTTCCTGGCTCCAGTTTTCCCCCCGATGACCTAGAAGAATCCTCATGCTTCCTTGGATATACCAGAACCAGCTGGCTGTGATGCCTACGTTTCCCCCTCAGGAGCGTGGGTCTCCTGCTGGGCTGGCAAGTAAGGCTGGCAATGGCCCAGTACTCCACACACCCTCATCAACCCCCTCCCGAGTCTTTTTTTCAATATTTGTTTGCCAATCCTTTTGATTAAATTCCGTCTGTTAAAATGGATGAGTTCCGTTTTCTAGGTAGAATCTAAATGGAAACCATCAGTCATACGTCTCAGGCAGGAGCTGGCACTGCCTTAGATAAACGTGGTACCAACACAATGCTACAGACTGAATGTTTGTGTCCTGAAACATTCACACGTGGAAATCTTTCTTCATTCATTCATTCATTCATTCATTCATTCGGGTTTTCATGATAGGGTTTCCCTGTGTAGCCCTGGCTGTCCTGGAACTAGCTCTATAGACCAGGCTGGCCTCGAACTCAGAGATCCATCTCCTTCTGCTTCCTGAGTGCTGGGATTAGAGGCATGCGTCCTTTTTCCAGCCTCCATGGGCATCAGGCACCCACATAGAACATATACACACATGCACGCAAAACACTTGTACACATAAAATAAATCTAAAAAATTAAAACCAACATGAAATCTTAACCTGCAGATTGGGGGGTGGGAAGTAGGTGGGACCTTCAGGAGGTGGAGCCCTCAACAGGACCAAAACAGATCCCAGAGAACCCTCTTCCCCCTTTCTGCCATTTCAGGAGACAGCAAGATGGCTGCTCAAGAGGGCTTTCACCAGACACTCATCACCAGCACCTTGATCTTGAGACTTTCCAAACCCCAGAACTAAGGAAAAAAAAAAACCACTGGACCTGTGGCTTTTATTATAGTAGTTTGAATAGACTAAAACAGATAATATACCATAATGCAGAAACAGGCATATTTTATTATCTATCTATCTATCTATCTATCTATCTATCTATCTATCTATCTATCTCATCTATCATCTACCTCTCTATCTTGATTTATTGAGGATTGAACCCAAGGCTAGGCAAGTACTCTGCAACTCAGACATCCCAGCAGCCCTGTATATTTTAAATGCTTTACCCATTTTCCAAGCAGAGCTCTTCGTTCTTCAAACACCTACAGCAAACAGAAGAAAACAGGGTCACTTTGGGCACCGTGGTTCAAGATACCCATTATAAACAAAACTGTTAAAGGATCAGCGACTAAGGATTCACCATCTCAACTGAGAATGAAGAGACACCTTGCATTTTTGAGAGGTCACTTTATTTGTTTATTAAATGGCCTTGAACTCTCTATGTAGGCCAAGGATGACCTTGAACTTCCGGTCTTCCTGTCTCTACTTCCAGAGTGCTTGGATTACAAACGGCACCACCATGTCTGGTTTCTGCAGAGCCAGGGATCAAACCCAGGGTTCTGTGCATGCTGGGCAAGCACTCTACCACTGAACTACACTACCAGCCAGCCCACTTTACTTACTTTTAACCCAGGCAAGGCCTCTTTTTTAGTTTCTGTGTATGGGATAATCATACGAAAGAAGTAGCCTATCCTCCCTTCCTTCTTTCTTCCTAGCCTCCTTCCTTTTTTCCTTTTAGACAGGGTCTCTCTCTGTAGCCCAGGTGGGCCTGGACCTCACTTTAGAGCCCAAGCTGGCCCAACCAACTTGATCTTCCTGCCTCTGCCTCCCAAGTGCTGGGGTTACAAGTGTGTACCACCATGACTCACTGGGAAATTGTTCTTTAAGAGAAATGAAATTGGGAAGAGAAAGGACACAGACAAATAAGAAAATGGAGTGCCTGGAAATTTTCAATGTTAATCACACAAGAACTTGTAAAATATATGAATAAGCAGTTCTGTTTTCGTGCGCACGTGGGTGTGTGTGTGTGTGTGTGTGTGTGTGTGTGTGTGTGTGTGTGTGTGTGTGTGTGTAGAGGCCAAACAACATCAGGTATCTTCCCTAATCTTTTTCCAACTTATTTTTTGAGACGGGGCCTCTCACTGAACCAGGAGCTCATCTGCTTGGCTAGGCTGGCTGGCCAGCAAAAAGCCTAGGTATCTATTCTGTTGTCTCTGCATCCTGGACACTGAGATATAAATGCGTGCCACTGTATCCAGCTTTTTTGCAGGCTCTGGACATTGAACTCAGGTCCTCGTGCTTGCCAAGCAAGTACTTTAGTAAGCAAGCAATCTCCCCAGCCCTGTTTTTGTCCTTCGGTGTATACCCATCTACACGAATATCCATGGACTTACTGATTATAAAATTAGTAATTTCTGTATGTGTGCCTCTGAGCTTACAACTTGGTGTCTGCATAGGTTTGCTCTCATATACTATTTTGGACAGAAACCATGTCATACTTGTTTGACACATCCAAGCAGAGTGCCGGTATAGCATATCACAAGTACCCCCAGATAGTACACTCCCATGGATGTGACTGCATGAATTGATGGCCTTATGGGTGTTGCAGTACAGTGCGAGTGAATGTGTATGTTGATATTTTTCTGAGCCTCAGAGCATATGTGGATTTGAGCATAGGAAGGGGAGAAGACCAACATGGGTATATTTGGCAGAGGAGGGGTTATGAAGAGAGGAAGAGAGAATAATGAACATATGTGACTGTGTCTCCCGCGCCAACACAGACACCCTCTGTCAGCTTTCAAATGGGGATCGGTGTTACAGCTCTTGAGCCCTGTAGGCACGTGCCAGCTAGGAGAGGCTGTGCAGACCTTGCTCCTTCCTGATTGTGGAGGATGAGAAGTTGGCTCTATGCTGCCGGCAGGTCAACCTTTCCTTTCCCAGACTCTCACGCTCTGGTTGTCAAGGGCACATTGACATGGGGGCTGAAATAGCAGCTTCCACAAATGCATGAGAAGTCTTCACTCTCCTGTCCAAGGAATCTCACACACCACATGTAGATACTTTTTGCATATTAGAGAAGGAAAAAAAAAAAGACTCTTGCCTCCCCACCCCAGTCACTGCCACTGGGATGCTGTGGTCCGACAGCAATGACAACAGATAAATTCAGGATTTCACATGCAAATACAAGAGAATGTAGAAAGCACAGAGGAGACGAAACTAAATCTGGATTCAAATATTTTTGAAACTCTTTCCTATCAATGCCTCCTCAAGCCAAGTCGCCAAATGCTTATGCAACTCTGATGCCCAGGGCCCCTCCCTTTTCTGCTCTACTCATGCTCCACAGGGGCTGGAGAGTATCTGGTTTTTGTGTTTTGTTTTTTGAGACAGGGTTTCTCTGTGGAGCCCTGGCTAACCTGGAACTCATGTAAGTTGGCTGCAAAGTCACAGAGATCCACTTGCTTCTGCCTCTCATGTTCTAGAATTAAAGGCATGCTCCACTACGCCAAGTGTGAGTGTCTGGTTGTGTCTCTAGTAGTTTCTGTTCATTTTACCTCCCCATATAGATGAGAAGCCCTTTCTTTCCCCAGAACCAGCAAGAACAGGTTTCATGGCAGACTCTCAGTGACACTGCTTGTCAAACAATGATAATGAAAAGGTTTCTGAAGGCACAGGAGGTCAGAGCAGGAAGAAATCCTAAAGAGGGGCTGGAGAGATGGCTCAGGAGTTAAGAGCACTTGACAGCTTCCAACAACCTGTAACTCCAACTCCAGGAGATCTGACACCCTCTTCTGGACCCTGTAGGTACTGCACTCATGTGAACGTACCCATACACACATATACACATAAATATAAATATTAAAATAAATAATAAAAAACCCTAATGAGCTTTCTCTTCAACTTCCTTATTTTTAGATAGGACAGACCGACTCCCATAGAAGTGACTTTGTTCACATTTTAAAAAAATATAAACAAGCCGGGCGGTGGTGGCGCACGCCTTTAATCCCAGCACTCGGGAGGCAGAGGCAGGAGGATCTCTGTGAGTTTGAGGCCAGCCTGGGCGCAAAGCTACACAGAGAAACCCTGTCTCGAAAAACCCAAAAACAAAACAAAACAACAACAAAAAAAATATAAGCAAACCACTGGCTCTAACTGGGCAGGGTGGTACAGGACTGTGGTCTCTGTACTGGGGAGGCAGAAGCAGGAAGACAGTAAGTTTGGGGCACGATTGGGCTAACTAACAAAAAGAACGAAGGCCAAGCATAGCTTCACTCCCCACGTTTGGAAAGCAGAGACACAGGAAGATCAGTGCAAGTCTACCCTCAACTACACAGTAAGTTCAAGGCTAGTCTGGCTTAAGAGACCCCGTATCCAAAAAACAAAACAAAAAAGAAAAGGAAATGACAGGAAGGGGGAAAGAAAGGAATGAAGGGGGGGAGGGAGGGACTCTGGTACTGAACTACCTAGTCAGCTTAACTCTGCATCTTGGTTTTTCACTATAATCGTAGTCTTCTCCATCCTGGCTGCCTGGAACTTATTATAGAGCCTAGATGGCCTGGAACCGATGCTTCTCCTGCCTCAGCATCCTGAGTTCTAGGATTGTAGGTGAATCCCACTAACCCTGAAGCCCTAATGTCTTGTGGAACTTCTTCCAGTGTTCTGCCTGGCGTGGGAAGAAGACTGGGTCTTGATATCATCAGTAAGTTTTCAAAAGGGGGTTGGGCTGCACCGTCCTTTTGTTCCCGGAGGGTGTGGCTCCTGGGAACAAAGGGGCACTCATGGGAGAGAGGAGAGGCGTAGTCCACAGATAGGTGTCAGGAAGGGAATGAGGTAGGAAGGGGTTCGGTCATGCAGCAGGTTAATGCAAACACAAACATCTCAGTCAGACCTGGTGGTGCAGGCTTGTCATCCCCGCTACTCAGGGGGCTGAGGCAGGAGGGTCACAAGTTCAAGACCTGTCTAGGCTACAGAGTGAGTTTACGTCAGCTTAGGTAATTTTGTGAGGCTATGTCTTAAAAAGTAAGAAGAAGGATGGGGGCGGGGGACACACTGCTCAGCGACAGTGTGTTTGCTAAGCATCTGTGAGGCCTTAGGTTTGAGCCCAAGCATTGGAAAGAAAAGGAAAAACCAACATCTATTCAGACTCCAAGCAAGCCCAGGCATTCACAGACAGTATCTCCACCCAGGAGAAATTGACCACCAAAGAGAGGAGGAGAGGGGGAATAATGACCAAATATCTTAGTCTCTCCTGCTTGACAGATCCCGACTCAAAGTCAAGAGGACTCTGATCTGGTTGAGTCTGCTTCACAACCATATAAATATATATATATATTGTTTGGGGGCGAATCATTTTGCTGTCAGCCCTCAGTTGGACTTGCACTCGTATATTCCCTGAATTAAAGTGAATTATCATTCCAAAGACGTGCAATCAGGGTCTTCATTTTTTAAGAAGCTGGAAGACAGACTATCTCTTCAAAATGGGAATATTAAAATGGCTCTTCTCACACAGACGGCTGCAGTCTGTTTATATCACAGTTTACCCACAGCCTGCTGTTAAGTCAAAATCCCTTGGTTGTTATTTCAGTCTGTTGACACTGCAATTACATATTTCCTCATGTGACATCACTGCAGTGGAGGAGGGAGCTATTTTGGAAATCCTAAATTATGATCGACGGACGGCAACAAGGTGCTGCCTCCCAGAACACCCTTTTTACAGGCACCGTGGGACATGGGCGAATCACACACCAAAGAAATGGGGATGTGCACTTTTTGTGTTTTTCAATTATATGTATTTAAGGTGTGCAACATGATGTTTTGGGACGCATATACAAGAGCAAAATAACCGCTAGAGTCAAGGCAGTTATCCTGCCCATCCCTGTCTACGGTTAATTTTGCATGTGGGGGAACGTGATCCTTCTAATTACAACACTGCCTGGCAACATAGGTACTATTACAATACTCTCCCCTAGGAATCCTCAGTGCCCCAAATTACTCTGTAATCTGCTGCATTTGCCTACCTTGATGATGCTTTTATTTTTTTTTTTTTAAGTTATCTAAATTTGAACTCAGTCTCTCAGCTGAAAACCTGCTGTGAAGGTAAAATCCAGAGTCTCTTATTTTAGGCTGAGTTGGTTATTATGTATTTCACATTCTACTACAGAACAGAGGGAAGACAAGAATTACAAAACAAAACAGAGGGCTGGAGATGGAGCTCAGCAGGTAGACTGCTAACTTAGCATGCATGATGCCCTGGGTTCAACCTCCAGCTCCTCCTAAGTGGGGCTTAAAGCCCCAAGCCTGGAACTCTTGAACTAGGGAGGTAAATTCAGGAAGATTAGAAGTACAGGGTTATCTGTAGCTACATATTGAGTTCATGGCCGACTGGGCCTACATGATACCCTGTCCCTAAAGAAGGGGGATGGGTGCTAAAGAGATGGCACAGTGCTTAAGATCATGTGCCGCTCTTACAGGGGACCTAGGGTTCATCTCCCAGTACCCCAGTAGGGCAGGGCATAACTGTCTGTAACTCCAGGTCCAGGGACTCTGATGACCTCTTCTGGGCTCCATGGTCACCTGTTCTCTCTCTCTCTCTCTCTCTCTCTCTCTCTCTCTCTCTCTCTCTCTCTCATATACACACATACTCCCCCCCAGCAAACATACATTAAAAATAAATATTTTTTAAAAAGGAGTTCACAATGGCATATATGTTTTTTTAAAAATTCGTTTGAAACAAGATGCCAACTAAATGATATTTTTGAATATGGGAGTTATGAATGATGAGTGTTTTCTCTAAAAGTTATCATTAAATGTGACCAAAGCCATTAAGGAACAAGGATGAGACTAAGCCATGTTTGCTATGTTGTAGCGATCCTTTCTAGAACTGAGGGATTTATTTCGTATCCATTGACAACCAGGAGCTCAAAGAAGCTGCCTTGGCCAAGGTCATGACCTTGGAGGGGAGAGCAGCTGGTCACTAAAGGGCAGTGTCAACTATAAGGGCCAGGCCTTCTTGTTGAATTGTGAGACAACTTGGAGGGATCATGACTACTGGTGTCCTGTGGGGCCAGTGGCAACATCATGAAGTTGCATTGCAGTCCCCTTCACTCTTGGCCCCAAACCTACACTCTTCCCTTCTGTATTAGTCAGAGTTCTCTAGAGGAACAGAACTTACATATGTATATACAGGATTTATTAGAATGGCATACAGGCTATGGTCCGGCTAGTCCAACAATGGGCTGTCTACCAACGGAAGGTCCAAGAATCCAGTAGTTGTCCAGTCCACTAGGTTGGATGTCTCAGCTGGTCTTCAGTATTCACCGGAATCCTGAAGAAGTAGCCTCTTATGCCAGTGAAGAAATGGACTTGCCAGTGAGAACAAGTAGGCAAAAAGAGCAAGCTTCCTTCTGTGTCCTTTATGTTAGTCTGGCTGCCACCAGAACGTATGGCCTAGATTAAAGGATGGATCTTCCAATCTTTAATGGTTTAATTAAGGAAAAATCCCTTGCAGATGTTCCCAGCCACTTAGGTTTTAGTTAATTCCAGATGTAGTCAAGTTGAGAAGCAAGACTAGCCACTACACTTTCTCTTCCCTTCTTCGGAGTTAATTCCTATATGCTCATCTCAAAACCTGCCTCTCAGGGCTGGGAATGTCCATCAGTAGGAGAGGTCTTATTTCACATGTGCAAGGCCCTATGTTCAATCCCCAGCACCATCAAATAAAAGATCTTTCTTTACCACCCTACCTACAAGCACTCGAGTACTTTTGGGACTCTGAAAGTACTTTTAAAATATTTATTTTTTTTATTTTAATTATATTTGTGTGTTGGTATGTGCACATGACTTCAAGTGCTCCAAGAAGACCAAAGTATCAGATCTCCCTGGGACTGGGGGAAGTTGTGAGCCACCCCATGTGGGTGCTAGGAATTGAACTGTGGTTTTCTGCAAGAGTACTATGTGCTCTTAACTGTGGAGCATCTCTCCTGCCACCAGTTTAAAAAAATAACAGAGACAGTATCTTGCTATGCAGCACTGGCTGGTCTGGAACTCACTATGTAAACCAGATTGGTCCTGAACTCACAGTCATCCTCCTGCCTCTGCCTCTGAGATCTGGGATTAAAAGCACATGCCACCAGGCCTAGCTTAAGATACTTTTTCTTCTTCACAGTGGCCAAATTGATCAAGACTTTTCCAGGAAATTTTCTGAAAATCAAGACATTCAACAACTTTGTATTTCAACTCAAGCCACTTTTTCACATATGTGCAAAACCTTCACAATTCAATGAGAAAACAGATTTCCAAATTTGACACTGACGTTGGAGGGATAAACTGTTATATAAACTGTTGGAGAGCTACGAGCGTCACAACAGGTGCTCAATAAATAATTGTTGTGCTGAAAGAAAAAGATTTCCATACGTTCATTTGGCACTATGAGGCCAGGCTCCATCTGCCTCTGCCTGTCCTCATGTTTCCGAGGCCTCCTTTCTTCCATCTCTCTCTCCTCTTAGGTCAGTTTTGTATCCTTTTTTTTTTCTTTTAGCATCTCTCCATTTTATTTCTCAGGATTCCAATTTCTTACACACCCCCTTCTTCCTTTACTCTTGATTCACATCAGAAGAGGGGAAAGTTCCTGGTTCTCAGATTAGCCAGGTTTGACTACAGGCTTTGCCAGGAGGGATCAACACTTCGTTAGGATTACAGAAACAATGGACCAACTTCAGTTAAGGAGGGAGCTAGAAGGGCCCAAAGATGAAAGTCAATGAACATCTAAGAAAGGGCTCAATTGGTGAAACATGTGGCTGCAAATACAAGGACCTCAACTGCACCCCCAGAACTCACACTAAAAAGCCACAAGGAGTTGTGGTGTGTTTAAAACTCAGTGCTGGAGAGTCAGAGACCAGTGGATCCCTGGGGCTCAGCCTGCCTTACCTGCTTGGTAAGAGCTAAGCCTATGTGCAACCCTGTCTCAAAAAAACAAGGCAGATCATAGCTGAGGAATAACAGCTGAAGTCTTTTGGCCTCCACACACATGCATGCACACGTACACCTGTAGTTGCACATATGGAAGTGGAGAGAGAGAGAGAGAGAGAGAGAGAGAGAGAGAGAGAGAGAGAGAGAGAGAGAGAGAGAACAGTGAGAGGACTGGACTTGTGTTCTGGAAGCCACTCCCAGACCTGTGTATTCAGAGACAGTGGGGGAAGAACACGTCGGTCTTGATGGGCTAACGTTGAACAGGAAAGTCAGAAACATCAGTGAGAGCAAAGAGGAGGCAGGAAGCCGGGAAGGTGCTTACAGAGGGACATTGAAGCTGGCTCACAGGTGATGAGGGCAGGAGCTGTGACACTGTGGACTTCACCTGGCTGGCCTCAAGTGCCAGTGGGTATTGGCAGGGGTGGAAGCAGGGAGGTTGGCTGGGGGTCAGGACCTGAAGGGACCTCAAGGATGCGTGGGGGGTTGGAATTTGCCCTTTGGAGTAGATCCCATTTTCAGTCTCACCTAATAGGATTGGTATTTCAGAAAGATCTTTCTGGGGGCCTTAGTAGAGGATAAGTGAGCGGGTCAGACAGGGACAGTGACAACAGCCAGGGGAGTATTGCACTGTGCCTGGCAAGGGTGGTGGTGAGCAAGTGACCTGAGAACATGGAGCTGGGTTGACTAGATCTAGAGAGAAGATTCAAAGACCCAGAGAACAAATGGGATATGGAGGCGAGGGTGTGTAGATAGATAGTCCTCCACAGGTCTCCCTATTCGAAGAGTCTGGGCATACTGAGAAGTGAAGGCCCTGAGCACTCTTCACTTGGATCTGTTTTCCAAGTTACATTGCAGGAAGGCAACCAAGAGGGAGGAGTTTATATTTATTGTTTACTACGAAGTATTAGATTCCCTGTGTTCACAGGTCTTCAGCTGCCAGGAAATCCACTGTGTGCCAGGCGCTTATCTGGGTGATGGGCATCACTCAGCTGGTGGAGGTCCACCAGGTCAGCGTTTAGGCTTGATGCAGAATGCTCACCCTGACAGCTCTGCTGTGAGCAGAAGTTCTTTGTCCCTGTCCAGATCCCCGTGTCCTTTACTGTGAGATAGTACTGTCTTTTGTTCCACCACCAACAGACTCCCTTATTAGCCTGTAAATTGGGGTGAAGAATCCAATCCCACACCTGACAGGGAAAGGGGAGGTTTTATGGTCCCGTGATGGAATAAAGTGGGGTTTCTCACAAAGTGGGGTTTCTCACCTGGAGGAAGGACTGGTGTGGAGAGGGAAGAGAGTGAGGTCAGTTTTAGACAATGAAACCGATTGTGTTTCGTTGCGGAGTAGGTGTGGTCCTGATGATGTTCCGGGACTGATCAGAGTTCTGTAACTCATAGAAGCAAGACTACAATACCCCAGAGCTCTGCCATTCTCACACCCCAGCCACTGGCTGCAATCCCTTATCAGGTGTATTTTACTTGCATCTCCCCAGAATTAAACTGGGAAATAGACTTCTTAGAAGAACATCAGTACCATGAGTACTTGGCTGAAATGTATTTACTAAGGGACTTCAACTTCATCCAGAAACTTGGGCATTGTTTTTTTGAGGGGGACCACCTCCTAGACGTCTTTCCTCCCTTCCTCAAATTCTGTTGGCTCCAAGGGGAACCAGCGATGGGAGAAAGAAGACACACTGGGATAGATAATGCAGGAAAGAACAACAGCTTTTCCCTTGGGCAGTACTCTGATCTAATTTTAGTCTTGCCCACATAGCAAAGACACAAAAAGTTGTTTTTAAAATAAACCTCTTGTTTTGTCTTTTGTTCATAGACAGAACCATCTTAAACAATTCCTGCTCATATTCTGACTATCAGAAATTTACCTTCTCCCCCTCCTTCTAGGACCCAAATGATAACACACCTCTGACCACTCACCTGGTCGTTCAGCAGCTGATGGTTTAGGGGTGTCCAGGTGCTCATCTTTGTCTGCATTTTGGGGCCATCAGTGCTTTTTGGAGGTGCAAATGCCATCATGAAATGACCTGGTATTCTTCCATCAGAAAGATTACACCTATCAGAAGAAACAAATCATTGAATCTTCTGAAAACTAAAATAATAATAATAATAATAATTCATAACTTTTTTGTATGTTGAGAGAGGGTATGGGTGGGTAGAATATTTACTGAGAGCCTTGTTTATGTCAAACACTTTATGATATACATTCGATACAAGCTTACAATGAGGTGGTGGTGAAATTGTGGGTTTTAGCTACTTAGACCACTGGAAAAAAATGAGGTTCACTGAAGTTACCCACCCTGCCAAAGATCATATAGATAGTGAGTGGATCAGGAATCAGACCACTGGATTATGAGGGAAGTTCAGAGTCATTCTTAGCTCAGAACCAAGTTTACTGGCCAGAAAGAGAAATGCTTCAAATTTAGAGTCACAGTGCAACATAAAACACACCCTTTGCCATGCAATGGTAGTGCACACCTCTAATCTCAGCACTTGGGAGGCAGAGGCAGGAGGATCTCTGAGTTGGAGGCCAGCCTGGTCTAAAGAGCTAGTTCTAGGATAGCCAGGGGTACACAGAGAAAGTCTGTCTAGAAAAACCAAAACAAACAAACACTACCAACAAAAAAGCCCACACCCTTCGTCCCAGCATTTGGGAGGCAGAAGTAGGTGAATTTCTTTGAATTTAAGGCCACACTGGTCTTCATAGAGAGTTCCAGGCAAGCTATGGCTACCCTATGAGATTCTGTCTTAAAACAAACACCTGATTTTTGTCTTGTCTAATTAACTCTCCTCCTCTACTCTTAGCATTGAGAAAAAAAGAGTTCCAGTCTAATGTATTCAAGGAGTAGACTGATGTAGTGGGCAAGGCCACACTTTTGGAGATGGACAGATGTGTTTATTGGGGAGATATCTGCTGTTTTTAGTTATCTGGTATACAGTCTGCCTACTTTTAATTAAGGTACTTTAATTTTCCTTGAGGAATTATTTTTCCTCACTGGTTGGCTGATTTTAGAGGTGTCCAGATGCTGGTTGTTTTTTTTTTTTTTCTTCATTTGGGGACCACCAGTGGTCCCTTCCTTGACAACAGATGCTGACTGGATCAAGTCACAGACGGACTTACCCTTTTCTGCATGAGGTGGTCATTGAGGGTCATTGAGGGTTACATTAGTGACCTGAGCAGATTGCATTTCTGTCCCCTAGAAGCAACCTGCCCTTTTCCTCTCCACCTTTGTGAGCTGGAATGTTTCTGCTTTTGAAATCTTTTTTTAATCAGCCTTGTGCAATTATTTTAAAAATACTGGCTCTGCAATTAAAACGATTTTCTTAGATTTATTATTTTATTGTTGTGTGTGAGTGTTTTGCCTGCATGTGTGTATGTTTGGTGCCTCAGGAGGTCAGAAGAGGGCATTGGATCCTCTGGAACTGGAGTCATGGATCGTTGTGAACCATCATGTGAGTGCTAGGACTCGAACCTGGGTCCTCTACAAGAGCACCAAGCACCCTTACTTCTGAGCCATCTCTCTAGCCCCACTCTGTGCAGTTTTTAAAATCCTATGTGTGTGTACCTCCAAAATGATACCTGGAAGAGAAAAAAAGGTCTTGACAAGGCGGCTGATGGGCAGGTGGCCTGAGTAACTAGTTACTTCATTCTTTTTGAGAACTTGTCACTTATGGAGTGTCCAAAACCTGTAGTTTGATGGGCCACGATGGCATATTTTATAATGGACAGGAGTTTCAGTACCTGCCCTCAATGTTTCTACCCTCCCTTCTCTCTGAAGATGGGTTTGCTGCACACACAGGTAGAACTGTGGTGGAGACGACTCTGCAAATGCCTGATCTGGGGCTCCACACATGACCCTACAGCATTAAATACTGAACAAATTAAAAACCAACTGGAGGCCGGGTGGTGGTGGCACACACCTTTGATCCCAGCACTCGGGAAGCAAGGGCAGATGGATCGCTGTGAGTTTGAGGTCAGTTGGTTTACAGAGTAAGTTCCAGGACAGCCAGAACTACACAGAGAAACCATGTCTTGAAAAACAAAAACAAACAAACAAACAAACAAAAAACCAACTTGAAAAACCAAAACAAACCAACCAACCAGCTGGGCTGGATGTAACTCTGTTAGAAGAGCGCTTTCATAGCATGCACAATGCCCTGGGGTTTAACCCCACTAACATATAAACTAGGTATGGTGTCACATGCCTGTAATACTGGTGCTCAGGAGATAGAGGTGGGAGGCCAAAAGTTCAAAGTCATCCTCAAAGGGAAGCCAGCCTGGGCTAACGAGGCTTTGCTTTAAAAACATATATGAAAATTTTGAATGCATTACTTTTCAGCTGAGATGGGATTTCCCCATTCACCACATCTGAGATCTCTGAGGTCCTCACTTGACATGTAATATTCACTCAAGTTAAAGTTACAGCTGAAGATGAAGCTTGTGTTTTATACCCTGGTAGGATCATTAGTCAACACCTTCCCTTGGTGGCATCCTGCCACCATAGCCTGGGCTCGCGATCAGCCTTTGGGACTTTCCCAGCTCCTAATGTTTAACTATCTAAGTCACTACAGTTTTAGCTAGGTTTCAAAAGGCACAGGAAATGGTTTCATTGCAGCATCGTTAACTAGCAGCCAGAAATACAGGCCCAGGTGAGCAGGCAAACAACAGACATAAAGCACTGCCATCAAGTTCTGATAAGCCCAGGTAAAAATGGTATACTGCTTGTTTTTATTTTGAGACAGGGACTTGGTATATAGTTCAAGCTGCCCTCAATCTCAAAATCCCCCCTCCTCCCTCTCCCCAGCGCTGAGATTACTGCTATTTGTCACCGTGCCCAGCAACATCCCCCCTGCCTTTTTTTTTTTTTTAAGAAAGCAGCTATTTTAAAAATCTTTGAGAGTCCTGAAGCCTCTGGGATAAAGGCTATGAATCTTCTTCCTAGAAAAAATACACAGGAAGCTAAAATTCTGCTTCCCCCAGGTTAAAAAAAAAAATCTCTGCGTTAAGCTGAGAAGCTCCCTTGCTTCCTAGTGTGTGTGGAAAGCCATTTGTGGTAGTCTAGGTACCATATCTGAATGAAGATAAAGTAGCTTTTCTCAAAGACACCCTAAGGGTCTGCACGGGCTGTTTTCTTCTCGCTGGTTCTTCGGGTCTGAACACCACTCTGGACTAGGTTTTCTTCAGAGCATCTGTAATTTCCAGGAGGTGGGCTTGGCCAGGAGGCACAGATCTTGGTGACAGTCATGCAGAAGCATGCCAACGGAGGTGTCTTACCTCGTCTTTTGTGATTATCCCTTTTCAATCTCCCCCTCTGCCCTCCAGCCCAGAAGATGAGCAGTGTACACAGTTTGCATGCACACACAAGTTCACAGAATAGACCACTGGCTACCACTCAAAAGACAGAAGTTTCCATACAACACACACAAGAAAAAGTTGACCCTGTCTACCAAGACAAAGTAGATTGTCTCATTCTCTTCCAGAGATACAGGTTGCTGGTATTTCCGTATGACTTCTTTTCCTTTTAATGACTGCCTATCATTACACTTTATGTTCCTGGGGATAAAATGTAGAAAGAAGGCCCAGGACCCCCATCCCCTACATATGGCCCCAGGCTCAGGTTCAACAGTCAAGCAGGGGTCCTAGTGCTCATGCATTTCTGGTCTGGCCTTCTAAATCTTCTGAGCCATTTTTCACACCATCACCATGACACAATCATTTTACTAAGGACCTATTCCAGGCAGGCCTCTACCGGGCTTATGTAGCCAAGGCTGATCTTAAACTTCTGGTCCTCCTGCCTCCACATCCCAAGTTCTGGATTACAGGTGTGCACCACACACCTGATTTATGCAATGTTGGATTGGGGCTTTGTACATGCTAGACAAGCACTCTACCAGTGGAACTATATTCCCAGCCCTCAGATTTGTTTTGTTTTGTCTTGCTTTTGTTTTTGTTTTGAGAAATATCCCCGGTTCACCTGGAGCTTGCTATGTAGACCAGGCTGGCCTCAAACTCACAAAGATCCACATGCTCTCCCTTCCCTCTGCTGGGATTAAAGGCCTGTGCTACCACACCCAACAGTTTTTTGTTTGTTTGTTTGTTTGTTTGTTTGTTTGTTTGTTTTAAAAGGACCAGTCAGTGAAGTCACTTTTCAACTCAAAAACCTTTGAATCTCACTAACGGCTGTAGAATCCCAACTCCTCAACATGAAGTCTGGGTCAACTCCCTGTAACTGTTTCAGCCTGGTTCTGTCATTCCCTGGAGTCTGTCCAGATCCACTGACAGTCTGACCACTGTAAGGATGATGGCATGAAATCCTTTGGGCTTGTGTGTTCTTCCGACACTGCTCATCTCAATTCCAATCACATTGGTGCAAAAAAGATGTTCAATAAATATTTGTTACTCAAGAGAAGGAAGAAATGCCGTGGTGGAGGAGGGGGAGGGGGCAGTTTGAGGATTAAACCTTGTAGGACTGCACTCTAAAACTCAGAACATAATGAACCTGGCACAGAGGAAATACTCAGGACAGGTTTTATTTGGAGGTTACAATGAAAACTAGGATTGAGTTTCTCTGCCAACACACAATTCACCCACAGTACACTGTAATAACCTCAGACATGGGGAATCTCTCACAGTATCGGGAATTAGAGGATGGGTAGATTTAAATACGAATTCACCTTATAGTCAACGAGTTAAAAACTAAATAAGTGCTGTAATGCATGGTTTTAAAAGCTAATGCTTGACCTGCACGTAATTGTTGGTTGTTAATTTCATAGGTTGGAAGCAACCACTGAAACTGCAGCAGACTGCAATCCCCAAGAGCCCCGGCAAGGCTTGTGGGAAGCTAGGGAGCTCTCCAAGAAGCTCCGTCTTTTTCCTGCCCTGCCCACTGTTCTCACCTCAGCAGCTGGCCTCCTCCTTCAAGCCTCTGGCTCTGGGGTTGCCATCGTTGCACTAGGACAGCTTTCTGTGACTCCTTCCAGCCCCCACCTCACCGCTTCCAGCAGTCCAATCACCATCTATAAATCCTGTCGCTGGCATCCGGAGTCTCTTAGGCAACAATGTGTGGTCTCTTGATTGGCCGGGGCATCCAAGGAGGGCAGGCTCCAAAATTGGGCACAGAGATAAAAAGGAGAAAGTGTGGCTGTAGGGTGAGTGGGAGGAGCTGTAACATCTTGATAGATTGCTGGCAGGAAGCTGTATCCAATCCTGAAAGCAGAAGCCTTGAAAAAAATCTTCCTTCAAGGCTTGCTACGTTTGTGTTCCCAAACAGCCCTTCCTTACGGAGCATGCCCAGTAATGCTGCTCTGGTCACTCGGGAGCTCCGAAACGCAAACTCCATTGTGACAGATTTTAAGACTGCCCAGAAGGTGGAAGAGGGTTGGAAGAAATGACAATCTGTAATTGGTTGGATGGAAGGAAGAAAAGCACCTGCAGAGAAAAAGGGAGGTCATGGAGGACCGGTCCCAAGCTGAGTGACAGATAGGACAGATACACCAGGGGACCAGCAGATGGCACGCCGTCGTAAGAATAACTCTTAATTTGGGTTTTTAAAATCCAGTCACATTTAATTAGTTAAATGCACTGAGCGCCCACCTTGGAGTGAGAACCAGAGAATGCAAGGATTAAAAAGGAAAGGAAAGGAAGGGCAGGCAGAAGGATGAAAGGCAGGCGAAGCCCGGTGTGGTGGCTCAAGCCTGTAATCCTAGCACTCAGGAGGTGGAGGCAAAAGGATCAAGGATCCTAGGACAGCTTCGGCTACATAGGGAGTTAGTTGGAGACCAGCCTGTGCTCCAAAACCCTGTCTAAAACACAGGAGAAATCTAATGAGAGAAACTGAACAGTGCAATGTGCAAATAACCAACGTAAAGCTCAGGGATCTAGCAGCTGTGACAGCAAGTTCTGGAGAATTCCAGGATGTTCAAAATTCCATGCCGCAGCCACAGTGCAAGGCAATTTTGATGACTATCAACTAACCAAAAATGAACCCCAGGACCTAAAACAAAAACAAAAACAGCTGCTTTCCACACTGTCTTTCTTGCTAAAACAATGGACTCTCCTTCAACTTAAGCAGTCCTACAAATCCTCCATGTTTCATCATCTTTATTTTTTAATAGTGTATTTTTAAATTTACATCTATTTATTTGTGTGTGTCTATGTCTTTGTGTGTGGGCATGCGTGTGCCTTGGGTGGAGGTCAGAGAACAACTTTTGGGAGTCGATTCTGCCCATCATGTAGGTCCAGGGGTCAAACTCAGGTGATAAAGCTTGGCAGCAACTGCCTTTACCTACTCGGCCATTGTGCCAGCCTCCCATTTCATAACTTTTAAATAGGCAGCATTTGCATATCTCCAATTTAAAGGAAAAGGGGAAAGTGGGTCTCATGGAGGTTAGCGCTTTGCCTATGTTAACAATGGATCAGTAAGTGGCCAAGCTGAAATTAGAACCTAGGTTGTCTGGATTCCAACCTAGTGGTTTTTTTCCAAATGACCAGCTTGTATGTAAATGAATAAACAAAGCCTTTGGGGATGTGAGGGGGTGGCCTGGGGGAGGCAGGTAGAGATGTCATACTAAATTACCATGCATTACCAGTTAACATTTATGGTTTCAAAACGGGTTCATCCAGAAAAGGACCAGTTTTAACAATGCCTAGGTGGCTGAGTCTCTCTGTGAAGTTCCCGCTCGTTAAAAGCTTTCTATTAGTGGTTACAACATGGAAGGAAAGGGAGATGGGACATAGAAAGCATCTCACGCTATCCCTGTGGGATTTGAATGTTTTTATTCCTGATAGACGATCCCTTTCTCTGCTCTTCACAGCACCTTCTGGGTCTCCTGGCCTACAGTTCCTCCATCTGACTGTTCCCTACAGTGGAATGAGTCACCCCATTCCCACTGTGTTCCTTGTGAGTCACCCCATTCCCGCTGTGTTCCTAGGGAGCATGTACACATAGCCTAGTGTCTGATTATTTTGACATTACTTTTGTGTGGAACATATCAAACATAAAGAAAAGCATAGAGACTTTCGTAATACCTGTATCTCCACGGAGATGTTTCAAAATGTTTCTGGTGTGTGTGTGTGTGTGTGTGTGTGTGTGTGTGTGTGTGTGTGTGTGTGTGTTTACCAGGCACATAGTATTCTGCACACCAATCCCATTGTCCTCCCCATGTCTAGAAAGCCATTTGCCACCTTGCCCGAATGAGCGTGCAGCTTTCTTGTTCCTTTTTGATATTTTCATTAGCTATATATTCACTCTTATAAGCAATTTATTCTTGCCAGTTTTTAAAGATGCACTGCTACTTACATCTATTGTCGTCTCATTCTCTGCTAAGTATTGCATTTATGGGACTTAATCATGTTGATATATTTGTGATTGTATTTGTGTCATTCCCACCTCCTGATGTGAGCAGCGGTGTGGCCTGGGTCTGTTTTTACAGGATGATGTGCCCATTGACTAAGAATGCCCCTGGTGAGCACATTTCCAGTGCTTTAGCTATAGGGACCTGGCAATACACAAAGCTAGTACAGTTTCCCCCATATACTACCTGCTTCTTTACTCACTCTCATCAAGAGGCACCACTGACTCCCCAGGACACGCTGACTTGCCTGGAATGGCCCTAAATAATCAATGTTACTGTCCTAAAATGTTACTGCACAAGTGTCAATAAGGAAAAAGGAAACTGTTGTTTCAGATTTTATCTATCATGCCGGTTCATCGAGGCCATCTCCTGATGTGAGACTATATGTCCGAGCACAAGTCTTTTCAATATTCACTACATTATTTGAGAACCTTTTAAAAATTATATGTTTCTCTGTCTCTGTCTGTCTGTCTGTCTCTCTCTCTGTCTCTCTCTCTCTCTCTCATTCTGTGTACCTATAGACCAGAGGTCAACCACAGGTGTGTTAATCGATTGCTTTCCACCTTAGTTTTTGAGACAAATCTCTCAGTGGACTGGGGATTCATTGCATGGGCTAGGCTGCGTGACCAGCTAGACCCAGGAATCTCCCTTTCTCTGCTTCCCCAGCCCTGGGATTACAAGTACCTGCTATCAGGACTGAATGTTTGTCGGTCCTGGGGGTATAGTTCAGGATCTTCTGCTGTACAGCAAGTGCTTTACCAACAGAACCATATCTCTAGCCCATACCTCACCATCTTAACCACTTATAAACATACAGGTCAGTAGTGTTAAGTACACTCACTTGCAGCAGGACCAATGTTGCCGTGTAAATCCTGTGAACTACCAACAATGATGCCACGAACTCTAAGCTGAAGATGGACAAAAAGAAAGATAGGTAAAACGCTGTAGCAAAGAGAAAGCAATCACATTGTAGCAATCACGGTTGATTGAATGCAGACTCTTTCATTAAAACGCTGTGTGGCTTTAAGTAAGCCATCCAACCTTTCTGAGCGTTCTTCTCTCTTGTTGGGAAAAAAAAAATAAAATTGTGTTTAGATGACCTCTAAAGAATCATTCGGCTCTCAAGTAGCAAAGGGAGAGGGGAGCCTTTTCTAAAGAGAAGATGAGGCATGCCGCCAGTAAGCACAAGCTCCATCTGTTTATAGTAAGGTCTTGGCGGAGAGGACGCACAGCATGCACCTGCTTCGCGGCTCAGTGTGCAGCGTTTGCAACGGGCCGGGTGTCCGTTGCTGCTGCTTGTACACGGTACTACCCTCTGCCACGGGTGATCGCTCCCTGACGTATCCCGGAGGTCCCGAAATTGGCACACTGGCTCTCAGAGCAGGTGTTGGAGGACCCGCACTGTGAGCTAGGCTCGGGAGGGCTTTGCAAGGAGGGCCCGGCACATTTCAGATGAACGCCTCCAGCCCTGGGAACCACTAAGCCGACGCGCGGCCGCTCAAGGCGTCAGCATCACCTAGGACGCCGAGCAGAGAACAACGAAGCGCGAGGCAGCCGCGCACCGCCAGGCTCCGGCTGGGAGACTGGGCGCAGCGCGCATGCGCGGCACGTGCGCGCGCAACCTTCCTCCCGGGGCCGCGCGCCCCGACGCTCGCGAAGGCTCGGCGCACCGGCTGTCCTCGGCCGCTCGGGGGACCTGAGGGACGCGCGGCCGCCTGCGGGGCCGGCGGTGCAGCGCGAGAGAGCTCGGAGGCCCGCCGGGGGGAGGGTGAGTCCCGCGGCCGACGCTTCCACCGGAGCCGGGAGGGCGGGAGGGGAGCGGAGCGTGTGGAGAGCGTTGAGGCTGCCGCCCCAGCCCGGCCGCCCCTCGTCAGGCGGCGCTCGCCGCTCGCGTCGCGGCCGAACAAAAGCCCGAGGCCGGCGCTGCCGAGGCGGGCGCGGAGCGGCGGCTGGCGAGCGCCCGGGCCCGAGCAGGATCGCGGTGGGCGGCGCGGAGTTGGGGGCCGCAGCCGTGCCGGGTCGGTAGGGATGCCCCTGGAAGGTGGCGGGGCCGGCACGTCCCGCCCGCGCCGGGCAACCTGTGCGAGTGTGGACGCGGCGGGTCCCCGCGCCGGCCGCCTGCGGGGAACGAGGCCGGCCCGAGCCGGTTTCTGTGCTCGGCGCCGCGGGGGCGTGGGCGGGAGGACGATGCGCCAGGCTCCGGCGCCGCTGCTTCCCAGCAGCCCCCGGCCGACCCCTGCCATCCAACGCCCGAAAGTTGTCCCCCTGCTGCCCATCACTTTGCAAAGTCGGCGGCTCCCCTGCTCCGTGCACTCCCCCGGCTGCCCCGGTGGCGGTGACTCGGGGTCCGCGGATTTGCCCTGGGATGCCGCGGCTGCATGATGAACAGTTCGTGGCCTCTGGAATAAAGGCGCTGAGATGAGGGTAACGTTAAGGATGTAAACATCTTAACATCTTCTTACATCTTGGGACTCTTGGAGGTAGATCCGGCTTCCTCAAGGGAAGAGAAGAGGGCTTTTTCATGTTTCTTTCCTCCTCCCTTTTTCTTATCCTTTCCCTTTTCTTTTGTGGATAGAAAAAGAACAAAAGCGCGTGCCATTAATTAGAGAAGAGACTTAAAGTTGAAAAATACCACGACTCGAGAGGTCCCGGGTTTTCGCCCAGTGTCAATGAAAAAATGCGATTTTTATTTTAGCTCCCTTCCAAATTTTTCAGGCTACCGAACAGACGCACCAGCTCAAAATCTCACCGTAGAAAAGTCCTTTTAGTGTATCTGGAATGTTTGTTGATGGGAATTGGGTTACTTTGCAAAGCCAGTACGTGAGAGCCAGCAAACAAAGACCCAGCTGGGCTTAAGGATGTTCCTCCCTCTTCAGTCTTCTTTGGTCCTCGGTGGTAGGCTGGTAGCATAATGGGCTAGAAGAGGACTAGATACATCCTGAGTTCTGTATTAAGAAGCAGGTACTCTAGTCATGCATGGTGGTTCACGCCTGTAATTCCAGCAGTCAGGAACTGAAGCAGGAGGATCACGGCAAGCTCTAGGACGGAATAGGCTACATAGTGAACCCCTTTTCTCAAAAAGAAAGGTGGGGAGGTCCTCCGGAAGGTACTTTCCATTCCATCTTAACTTTTAAACAAATCAGTGTCTCCTGCCCCTGGGAAACAGAACACATTTACTTGAGCTGTATCAAACTACAGACAGCATAGAGGTAAAAGGATTCAGAGTTAAGGAGCCAATGAAAGAAGTGTAAACATTTGGAAGGATAAAACCAAAGATACACTATAACCCAGTTGCAGCTCTTGCCATGGTGGAACATGTGTAGTGTTGATCTCTGCCCCCAAATGCTTTGAAACTACTAGGAAAATAGGTTTGTTTTTGATAAAGTCTAGTATTCTATTCCATTTTTCCTCCCCCGCTCCCCATCTAGTAATAACGTGCATCTCATCTCCTAGAAAGCTAACAAGGCTCCATTAATGAAAGAAAAGGGGACTGTGGCCTTCTCATCCCTTTTATTCTTTCCCCACGATTCTTTGAAGTTTATTTTCTGTTTTGGGTATTCAGGTTAATTTTCTTGGGAGTTTCATGCTTGAGCTATTTGAAGTAGAAAGGGTTGAGAGGAGTTGAATAGTGAAGTGCACATTCTTTGTATAGTGCAGCATGAAACCTTTATCATCTAAGACGGGTGGAGGTGTTGTTTTGTTCTTGCTTACAAAAGATGGTCTGTTTCCCTGCTTTACCTCTGGGGTTTGGGAATCCACCCAGACTATGTTTCATATTAGTTCGCTGCTAAAACTCTGCCATGATTTTGTCCGTAAAACTCCCAAGTGTGAGATCAGGTATGGTGGTGCACACCTACAACCCCAGCACTTGGAAAGCAGAGGCAGGAGAATTTCTGTGAGTTTGAGGCTAGCCTGGTTTACATAGCAGATTCCAGGACAGCCAGGACTACATAGAGAGACCTTGTCTCAAAAACAAAACAAAACAAAACAAAAAACCAAAAAACCCTGAGTATATTAGTATGTGATGCTAGGCTTCTGTGGACTTTATTTTTTCCTTAGAAGCCAGGTGGTAGGCAACAGTTCTCAGCACATTGTTACCTTCTTTCACTCAGTAGAGGTTAGTAAGGCAGATGTAGTTAAGATTCTGAGGAAAGAAAAGGAGAGTTTTCTGTGATGATACATCACATCTGTAAGGCTGGGTATAATAGCTCTTCATTGGCTCGAAGACTTAGCAGCTGAGCAGAAATGGACTTCCTCCCGGCTTTACAGTTTATCATCCTGGGAACCACTGACTTTGGTGGATCCAGGGAATGCACTGTAAATGAAGCTTTTGAAGACTGTAACTCAGGGTGTGAGCTTAACACATTCCAGTCTCCCCCTCATTATGTCTCAGAATAATACTTTAGTCAAAGCATAGGAAGCATACAGTCTTGTTAAGTGGGAACACAGGGACTTGCTCTTTTCTCACAAAACTTCAGCGTTTCCTGATGAACAGACTTTAATTGGAGAGAGAAGCTGGTTGGAATTTCACCTTTACTTATTTTACTTACCTTTTGCCAGAATCTGTACATCTTCACGATTGGGAATGTAACTCAACTTGGCTGGCCCCTGCAAGACTCTTGAGTCCTGTCTCTAGTACTGGGGGGGTGTGGGGGGGAGCAAGCAAACAGATCTGTCTTTGAACTTCCAGTTTTATATTTACAGGTTCATTTTGAAAGATTATTTGCTTCTCTTAATTTCAGAATTTAGTGACTTGTAAGTCTGAAATTTGATGCCCACCATTCCTTTTAATTCTTCATCTAGACGTGCTTTCTGGTTTATTTCTTTAAGAAATACCACTTAGCACGTCAATAGATTAGAGTACTCATTGTAATTAGTAGATGGCAGAAAGAAACTGAAAAATTAGAGAGGTCGTGGACACTGTGGCACACACCTGTGATCACAGCACTTGAGAAACAGGCAGGAGGGTCAAGGGTTGGATGATAACCTTGGCTACATGAGATGCTGTCTCATCCCTTGCCCTGGGTTAAAATTAGATTGATATAGTCAGATGGCCAGAAAAAAATAACTCTGAGATTAGTAGAACTAAGTATGACATATAAACTTTTTTTGCAATAGCTAAGAGGCAGTTTGGTGAGGATGAATTTTTTTTTTTGTAACTGTATGATATGGAGGGCTGAGGAGGTGCTTCATTGATAATGTGTTTACTGTGTGTGCATGAGAGCCTGGATTTGGTTCTCCACACCCAGGTAAAAAGCTATGTGTGGCGATGGTGCTTGTCACCCATTGTTGACCAGAGTGGAAACATGAAGCCCTTGCTTGTAGGTCGTATAATCTAGCCAGTTGGTGAGCTTAGGTTCAGTAAGAGAACCTGTCTCAAAAAAAAAAAAAAAAAAAAAAAAAAAAGAGAGAGAGAAAGAAAGAACAGAAAGCAGTTGAGGGAGACACCTGGCACATGCAGGCACACATGTGAGCACATACACACACATAATCCCCAATAAGAAATGGAAATGAAGGGACAGTGAGCGGGCTTTAGAAGAAGGGAAGCGACACTGGAATGGGTCGTAGGAATATTTTTCTAATAAGACAATGCTCTCCTTCAGAGAGACTTAGAGGAACCCATTGCTAATCTTTGTGATGTGTTCTTGAAAACCGTGTCTGAAAGATGAGAGTATCCTACCTTTCCACGTTCAAGCCAGTGTGTCTTCCATTTACAACTTACAGATGATATTTCTGAACTGCCTGTATTTAAATATAAATGTAAATTAATGTAAACTAAGAATGAGAGGAGGGGCCCTCTCTTTGGAGAAAGTGATGGAAAAGTATTTCTGAACAGTCTTTTGTTGCTGTACTTTCTTGACAAGACCTTGTGGTACACTTTTCTCATGGCTGCTTCTGGGATCAGCCAGCATTTTCCACCTGAGTTCTTTGGACCTGGCTTTGTAGGCAACCTGGGAAGACTGTCTTTCAACATTTCAGTCATCTTTTTCTTCTTGTCCTTCAGGTGATGCGCTCAGCTAAATTTATTTTAAGTACTTTTTATCATAAAAACTGACAATAATTGGAAAATATCAAATTCCCAATGAGGTACATTCATAAAACTGGAAATGTATAAATTTCAAATATTTCTTATGTCCCACTTAGTACAGGAACTCAAACCAGGGCTTCTCACTTGGTAGGAAAGCATTTACCAAGCTGTGTCCTTAGCCCTAGTCTAGAATGTTACCAAGCACTTGGAATCAATTTTCCAAATATTTTGTATTGTTTTGTGGAGAGGTGAAAGTGCCTCTTTCCTCACAGATAGTGCATGAACTGTCATAGCATTCATTTTTGCCCTGGTGCCCAAAACTGCTACTCCTTCTGTTAGCTCAGTAGGCCCCTTTATTCTGTTGCAATCCTACAGATTCCTGCAAAAAAAAAAAAATAAATAAAGTAATGCTTCAAACAACTGTTACCCTTTATTTAATAGATTACTGTATTTTGTCAAGCTCCTTTTAAGTCCAGAATCACCTGTTTCCTGCAGGTCTGAAACTTCAGCTTAGAACTTTTTCATGGATAAGCCCACCTTGAGAACAGTAGCACATTTCGTGATTCTCAGTAGAAACAGATATTTCAGAGGCTATGGAGATGGCTCAGTGGGTAAAGTGCTTGCCATGTATGAGGCCTGATCCGTGACACCTACATAAAAGAGATTCCCTGTATAAGGTGCATGCATGTAATCCCAGCTCCAGAGACAGGTGGATCCTTGAGACTGGCTCTCCAGACAGCCTAGCTGAATCAGAAAGCCCTTGGTGAGAGACCTGGTTGTCTCAGCAAAACAGTGTGGGCGATTCTGAGAAAGACACTGGAGATTGACCTCTAGCCCTGATGTACATGTCCGTGTACATGCCCACATGTATAGGTAATTCATTGTTCAAGAGTGATGTGGCGTGTGTACAAGGTGCTTTAAAGTACACACAACATTTAATTGAGCTAACAGGTAACCTGAATTAGTGTTAAAAAAAAATCAAGTTTAAAAAAAAATCAAGTTTTGTTTGGTGGTGTATGCACACTCATGTGCCATAACATGCATGTGGAGATCAGAGGATAACTTTTTGGAGTTAGTTCTGTCATATGGATTCTTGGGATTGAACTCTGTCAACCAGGCCCAGTGGTAAGTGCTTTTACCTGATGAGCTATCTGGCTGACCTGAAAAATCCATTTGAATCTTCCTAAATTACCACTTCTTTGCTTTTCCTACTACCAGCAAGCAGCCTATCCCTTGGCTTGTTGCTTTAATTACCAGCCAGTAAACTGTTCACGTAGCATTTGTTCTTGTCTGCCAGTCAGCACACATGGACAGATTTGAGGAGTTACTTGCCTTTTATACAAAATAGTGTAAGATCGGGTCTTTTGTAAAATTCCCTAGAGCACTTATTTTTAAATATGCCCCTCCCCTTTATGATGGTCTTGACCATATAGCCCAGATTGTTCTCCATGAGTTTTGGGATTATAGGTGTGCACCATCACATCTAGCTGAAATATTTGTGGAGGTTTGTTTTTTTGTTTTTTGCACGTATGCTTTTCTGACAGAAGTGAGTTATATATGCATACTGTTCTCTTTACTGATTTAAAAACATCTTTGTGTTAGGTTGTATGTGGTACTACAGGCCTTTAATCCCAGTCCTTGGGAAGCACAGGCTGGTGAATTTCTGTGAGTTCAAGGATAGTTAGGGTTACATAGTGAGACCTTACCTCAAAAAAAGATTTTTGTTTTGTTTTGTTTGTTTGTTTTTGTGTGTGTTTAGATGTGTAAATGTAAGAGCACTCATGTAGTGGTGCATATGTGGCAGTCAGGACAACTTTGGATGCCAGTTTCTGCCTTCCATCTTGTTTAAGACAGTCTTTTGCTTTCTGCTGTATATGCCAGGCTTGCTGGCCCTCAGGCTTCCAGGGATTCTCCTCTATATGCCTCCCATCTCCCTGTAGGTATGCTGGGATTACAGATATGTGCTATCATGTGTGCTTTATGTGGGTTCTGGAAATTTGAACTAGATCTGCATGCTTGCAACACAAGCACTTCACCTACAGTCAAAATTGTTGTGCTTATCATTGTTATGCTATTATGCTGGTAAATGCAATCCATGCTCATCTTTTGGGAGGAGGAACAGTGTTGGGGATTGAGCACAGGGCTTTGTGCATGCTAAGTATACATGACCACTGTAGTGTGCTCTAAGTCATATTCATTGTTTTCAGTGTCTGTATAATATTCCATTATGTGTTTATACCACATTATTTAGCAAAACCCCTCTTGGTAATTTTTTAGGTTTTCAGGTTTGGTTTTTTTTTTTTTAATTGTTATAAATTACCTATGCTAATATTTCAGTTGTATACCATATGCACTTGTATACTTCTGGAATAAATTATGAATGGATGTATGCTGGACCAAATTATGTGTGCATTTGAGGGCTTTTGGTATAAAGAGCCATTAAAATTACTTGTATTTTATGTGTATGGGTGGTTTGCCTGTGTGTACCTATGTGTACCATGTGCCTGCAGACTCTGCAGAAGCCAGAAGAGGGTGTTGAATCCCCTGGAACTGGAGTTACAAATGGTTGTGAGCTACCTGCAGGTGCTGGGAATTGAACTGAGGTCCTCTGAAAGAACAGCATGTGGTTTTAATCACTGGGCCATCTCTTTGGTCCCATAAGTAGCCTTTTTTTTTTTTTTTTTTAAAGTATCAACTAGTTTACATTCTTATCCAAAGTATTTCAAAATGCTGAAAATAATCTTCCCTGTAATCCATGCCATACTTTGTTCTATCATTGTTATTATTGTACATCTGATTGGCAAATGTATTATGTTTGTCTTTTTCATTTGCATTTTTAAAGTGAAGCTAAACATCATGCCATGTGTTTATTGGCCTTTTGTATTTATTTTGTCCTTTGAAATATTTTCTATTACTCTTTTTAAAAATATTTTTTATTTTATGTGTATGAGTGATTGCCTACATGTATGTCTGTGTGCCTTCATGCCTCCATGTGCATGCCTGGTGCCTTCAGAAGAGGGCACTGGATCCCATGGAACTGGGTTATGGATAGTTGTGACCCACCATGTGGATGCTGGGAACCAAACCTGAGTCTTCTGCAAGAGCAACAAGTGCTCTTAAGCTGTGAGCCATCTCTTTAGCCCTATTATTCTTTATATTCATTTATTAAATTAATTTTATGTAGTTTATTATATATAAGCATGCTTTTTCTTTTAACTGTTCTGTTTTAGCATAGCATTCCTCAAGACCTGACTTATAGGACACTTGTAACTACAGGTAATCCTTAGGAGATAGTCCAGACAGTGGTCCTTAGGAAGTCTGTCTCTCTTCAGAGGAGTTATGTAGCTCAGTGGAAGTCCTAGCCCTACTCTGGCTTGTCTACACAGCCAGGCTGTGTGGTGATCATTTATTGGTCATGTGTTTGAGATTCCAGGGCAATATATGTGGCCTTAAATTTTTGTGCTATCTAAAATAATGTAACATTGGCAAAACTGGCTGGTGATACTTGGAGAACCATCTGTTTTTAGTTCAGTGTTAGTTGATAGAGGTAGCCTTGTCAGCTGCAATTGAATGCCACAAACACCTAATGTTTGATGATACTTTTTTTCATATATTATCTCATAATTTACTCATAGATTCCCATTTGAGAAGTGAGGTTCAAATCATTTTCAGAAAAAAAAAATATGGTTAAGTGACAGTGTTTTTACAATGTTGAATTAGTAAGAGGTCTGATCTCGTCCAAGACCTTTCACAGCTACTTTCTACCAAGTCAGTTAATATAAAAGTGTACTGCTAATGACCAAAACACATATAATAAATTTGAAATTCCATAATCCAGTTTACAACAAATATCATTTAAACAGTTTGGAGCAAAGGAAAAAGTATTCAGAATGGATCAATTACATCTTGTGACGGAATTCTCCACCATGTGTTAGATATGCAACTTAGGATATAAAATTAGCCTTTAGCCGGGTGGTGGTGGCGCACGCCTTTAATCCCAGCACTCGGGAGGCAGAGCCAGGCGGATCTCTGTGAGTTGGAGGCCAGCCTGGGCTACCAAGTGAGTTCCAGGAAAGGCGCAAAGCTACACAGAGAAACCCTGTCTTGAAAAACCAAAAAAAAAAAAAAAAAAAAAAAAAAAATTAGCCTTTAAATGTTATTTGAGAACTATTTTTAGTGAATATATCATATGATAAGATAGAAAAACTATTACTTTGTGACTATCCCTGTATTTTCTCTATTAGATCTGTATGATGGCTCATCATATTTTAATGTCAAGTCTTCAACATTTTGAGAAGTGATTAACTTTCCCATTTTCAATACTTTTCAGATATTTCAACAAGGAAGAAATCACTCTCCTCCTAAGATGGAATCTGTGATTTGGGAATGTGGTTGATCAACTTGATATGCTGGCCAGATGTGCCCTATGTAATAAAATGAAAAGAAGATACAAGATGATGTCATTTTCCAATATTGTGAAACCAAAAACAAATGCCTTTTGTGAGACCAGGTTAACAAACCTCTAACAGTACAAGGAGTTTTTAACTGTTTGAAGAACCTAACAGATACAGAAGGGGTGCTTTCAAGCTGAGACCTGCAGGCACATCTTGAGTAAATCTGATCATCCGAGTCTCATTCAGATCCAGGAAGAATGGCTATGAGTTGGATTGTCTTTTATCTTTGGCTCTTGACTGTGTTTGTGGGGCACATAGGTGGGCACAGTTTGTTTTCTTGTGAACCTATTACCTTGAGGATGTGCCAAGATTTGCCTTATAATACTACCTTCATGCCTAATCTTCTGAACCATTATGACCAACAGACAGCAGCTTTAGCCATGGAGGTAAGACTTGAGCTACCATTTGACATTCCAGAAAATAACCTACAGTGCCCTGATACACACCTAATGTGTTTGATGTAAACAAGAGGAAAATATTGCTGTTTTTAACTATAACTTACACATTTGGAAATTTATGTAGTTTGGCTCATACTATAATAGACTAAAGAATTTGTATTTGGAGAAATTCTACTCTTGCATTTATTTTTAGATATATTTTTACAAAGAAATTTGAAACACTGAAACATGTGATGATACCTCTTCAGAGATTACAACTTTCTTATTTAACTAATAGATAACTTTATATAGGTAGCATAGTATAATAATATTACATATAGTTCAATAGCTGTCTTAGTTAGGGTTCTATTGCTGTGAAGGATCACCATGACCACGGCAACTCCTTTTTGGTTTTTCGAGACAGGGTTTCTCCGTGTAGTTTTGGTGCCTGTCCTGGATCTCCTCCGTAGACCAGGCTGACTCTCCCTCCCAAGTGCTGGGATTAAAGGCGTGCACCACCATGGCAACTCTTATAAAGGAAAGCATTTAATTGGGGCTGGCTTACAGTTTCATTATCATGGTGAGAAGCATGGCAGCATACAGGCAGACATGGTGCTGGAGAAGGAGCTGAGAGTTCTACATCTTGATCCGCAGGCAACAGGAAGGGAACTGTGTTCCATGCTGGACATAGCTTGAGCATATGAGACCTTAAAGCCTGCCCCCACAATGACACACCTCCTCCACCAAGGCCACACCTCCTAATAGTGTCACTCTATAGGCCAAGCATTCAAACACATGAGTCTTTAGGGGCCATACCTTTTCAAACCACCACATTAGCTGAGTATGGAATATAATGTGATTTTTTTTTTAAGACTGAATTCTTCTTTAGGTTTATTTATTTATTTATTTATTTATTTATTTATTTATTTATTTATTTATTTTTTGGTTTTTCGAGACAGGGTTTCTCTGTGTAGCTTTGTGCCTTTCCTGGAACTTACTTGGTAGTCCAGGCTGGCCTCGAACTCACAGAGATCCGCCTGGCTCTGCCTCCCGAGTGCTGGGATTAAAGGCGTGCGCCACCACCGCCCGGCCTATTTATTTATTTTTTAATATTCAAGATGATTTCCTGGTAATGTCATGCTCACATCAATTTAGGAGTACCTTTCAAGCAATGAAAAATGTTTTGTTATGTGAATTCTGTTCTTGGTGGTTCAAAATTTTTATGAAAGTTTGTTGCCTTGCTTGAATTTTTGTTATGATAATTCTTCAGGTACTTCTTAATATATTTGCTTCAAAAACTATGTCGAGTTAATGGATATGGTTGTTCCTAGGTTTAAATGTGTCTGTAATGGTCTTAGATTTGAGGACAAAGATATATTTACTAGATAGAAATGGGGAAGCAGTAAACAGTCAGCTGAGGATATGGGCTTTGGAGCTGGACAGCCCAGGGTGTTTGAATTCTAGCAGTGTCACTGTGGCAACTTGTGTGAACTTTGCCACCCTAGTTCCTTTGATTTTAGTAACACCAACAGCCAGGTGTGGTGGTGGTATAAGTCCATCATCCCAGCACTTGGAAGGTAGAGGCAGGAGGATTAGGAATTCATGACAGTTCTGTTTTACAGGATGAGGTGGAGGCCAGCCTGAGCTATATATGACCCTGCTTCAAAAAACACAATAAAATAAAGCTAATAATAATTACACAGTCTTTCATAGTACAGAATTAAAATATGCCTATATAGTACTTAGTACATAGTAAATACTCTCTAAGTGATGGTTTTTGCTACTCATTTATTTAAGACAATGTTTCACTATGTAGTCCTGGCTGGCCTGGAATTCACTATGTAGATCAGGCTGGCCTGGAGCTCAGTAGAGCTCCATCTGCCTCTGCCTTCTGAATTCTGGGATTAAAGTCATACATCATTACACCCTTGATATCCATATTCTTACATTAACATGGTCATGTAATATAATTTAGACAGTGTCTTATATTTTAATCAGTTTGACAATGCTTTCAGAGCCTGCATTTGGAGTTCTTCGTTTTATAGCAAAACATACTCATTGCTTCAATCTGGTGAAATTTCTAGAAAGATTCATAGATTCATAGATTTCAAAGTATGTTGGGCATGTTATAATTTTCTGAATTATTTGGTGATGCTATAGAAATTGAACAAAACATTTTCTGCTTTTCCTGTGACTATACAAGGTCTAACTAATAAAGAGAAGATTTGGCCTAGACTATCAGACTAGGATATATGAAAGGAGGTATTGTCTGCTGGCAGTAAGTTGGGTCCTGACATGATAGTTGTAGTAGTTTTTGCTGTATGCTGAAGATTGAATTAGAAATACCCCAATATCTAGTATCACTGTAAAGTCATAACTTCTTTGGAAGCAAGAAACAAGTCATAAAAATCCCTATACTTGCCGGGTGGTGGTGGCGCATTCCTTTAATCCCAGCACTGGGAGGCAGAGCCAGGCAGATCTCTGTGAGTTTGGGGCCAGCCTGGGCCACAGAGTGAGTTCCAGGAAAGGTGCCAAAGCTACACAGAGAAACCCTGACTCAAAAAAAAAAAAAAAAAGATGCTCATACTTAGGTTCCACTTTTGACTCTGTCATGTAGTAGGTGTAGGACCTTGGACAAATTGTCTAACATTCCTACATCTTGTTTTCTTATTTAAGGCAACAATAATGAAAAAACTCAGTTGGACTTGTTAGGATTAAATGAAAAATTTGTAAGTAGCACAATGCATGGTGTACAGATTTTAATTCTATTCCAGATTCTGTTTCTAAATTGTCTAGAGAAGAGATACTAGGAAGGTGATGGACTTGGCCCCAGATGAGCTTATATCATTCTTCGTGTGGTCATGGGACATTCAAAATGATAACATGGCAGACTTTCTCTGCCTTCTTCTCAGATATGCCCACATAATCTATATAGTTTATTGTAAGTGAGTTTGGAATTTCTGACAGCCTAGGAAGAGTCCATAAGTGGGAAGTAGTTTCTAAGAGAAGACTTCAGAGATTTGACAAAACCCTGTGGAAGTTGCTTACTGCACGGTTGTCATAGCAGGACAGAGATGCCACTGACAGTCTCCTGGGATTGAAAGTAGTTTGGTGGGATAGTGAATGCTGATCCCAGTTCCAAAGCTACCACCTGCCTGTGAACACTAGTGTGATACTTCTTTTTCTATTTCTTTTTGGTTGTTCAAAGTGATTTTGAAGTGTTCAGCATCATGTGTTTGCATTTTATAAATAATGTAATTAGCAAAAGAATGAAGCAACATAGCTTTCCTTTCTCTAGAATCTTGTGTTGCTTCTGCTTAAGTATACCTTTGCTTGTTCAAATTCTGTTGTTCTTGATCTATTGTCAAGTTAAAAAAAAGGTGCAGGAGGGTGTGTGGCTTAGCTAAAACATGTATGATGCTGTGCAGGCTAGTTTTAAGCCCACTTGACACAAGCCATAGTATCTGAGAAGAAGAAACCTCAATTAAAAAAATGCCTCCTTAACATCAGGCTGTACATAAGCCTATAGAGTATTTTCTTAATTAGTGATTGATGGGGGAGGGCCCAGCCCATTGTGGGTGGGGCCACCTCCGGGCTGTGGTCCTGGGTTCTATAAGAAATCAGGCTGAGCAAGCCATGAGGAACAAGCCAGGAAGCAGCACCCCTCCCTGGCCTCTGCATCTGCTCCTGCTCCAGGTTCCTACCCTGTTTAGGTTCCTGTCCTGACTTCCTCCAATGATGAACAATGATATGGAAGTGTAAGCCAAATAAACTCTTTCCTCCCCAAGTTGCTTTGGTCATGGTGTTTCATCACAGCAATAGTAGCCCTAATTAGGACAGAGAAATATAAGAACCTTCTTCTATATTAAAAACAAAAACAAAAGAAGTGCTTTCTCTTCCGGTGTCTTTGGTGTTGGCGAAAGAAGATGACAAAAGGAATATCATCCTTTGGAAAGTGTCCCAATAAGATACACATATTGTGCCCCTGCTGTGGTTCCAAGGCCTTCCACCTTCAGAAGTCAACCTGTGACAAATGTGGCTACACTGCTAAGCGATAGAGAAAGTGTAACTAGGGTGCCAAGGCTAAGCTCCGAAACACTACCAGGACTGGGTGGATAGGCACCTAAAATTGTCTGTCGAAGATTCAGACATGGATTCCATGAGGGAAGTACCCAGTTCATCTTGAAGATTTCAATCGGTCATAAATGTTCTGGTTTCAAAAACACCACCACCACCACTCTATATACAGGTAGTGGAGAATTATTTGCAGTTTTTTCTAATTTTTAGGAACGAAAGTAACAGCTTTTGAAATTTTGAATGTACCCCAATGTAACAATACTGATCCACATTTATGGATAGGCATTTTAGAAAATAAAATTTCTTTTTGAGTTCATGGTTTTTATTCTTGTTTTTTGTTTGTTTATTTGTTTTCTGAGACAGGGCTTCTCTGTGTAGCCCTGGGAACTCTCTATAGACCAGGCTTGTCTCGAAATCACAGAGATCTACCTACTGCTGCCTCCCGAGTGCTGGGATTAAAGGCATGTGCCACCACTGCCTAACTGAGTTCATGTTTTTAATCTCTAGAATACATTCATTGTCCGCCATATTTACTTTCCTTATTATCTTTTGTTTAGGTTAGTGTTTATAAGATTTTTTTCTCTAAACAATGTAGTGAAATGATCTATTTTATTATTACATTGACCTATATCCCCAGCCCTGATAGGTATAGCTTTAGAAACCAGTTTTATGACTAGGGTAAGCCAAACAGAATTAAGAAGCTTTTAAATTAAAACAACTATACATGCAGGTAGTAGAGAATTATTTTCAGTCATTTCTGTTTTTAGGAACAAAAATAATGGGTTTTAGACATTTTGAATTGATTTACTTATGATAAATTGCATTAAAGGACTCCCTTAAAATTTTTGCTTTAAATCAGATTATTAAATGGAGTAGAATTTGACTTGTGAAGTATTGTTTTTTAAATATGTCGTAATCCAGAACTCTCCACT